GAAAGTTTTGCACGACCCAAACACATAAAACAAAAATTCCCCAAAGTCACAGCATAGAAAACAAAGTTGATTTGGAAAGTGGAATGAGGATTTTACACAGTACAAATATTTATTAGAATAACTTTTCTGAAAAAATACATTTCTAAACTAAGGCAAACAACGTAGAGCCATATAATTTTTTTACACTCGTATTGTGTAGTTTCTAAAAAGTAAAAGATTTAACTAATCCAGCTTAAAAGTGCCAAGGTTATTTAATAGTTTTAACAAACGTTTTTCCCTGTGTAGAAGCCAATAACCAGGAAATGATAGAAGCAAGACTCAGCTGGAAAACGATGAGAAGCAAAAATAAAACATAAAACAAAATGCCCAAAAAATTAACGACAAATTGCGCATCATTAAAAGTAAAGAGGGAGACGACTGGAAAACAAAAAGAAAGCGGGACACATAAGGGCCCAGGAGGAGGAACATTAAGGAGCCTGCCAAAAGCCAATAATGAAGGCAAACGCACGTTAAGAGCAAAATGAAGCCAAAACCCAGGGACTGACGGGCAATGAAAGAAGCTTTGAGGGCACTGGCATACCTCCGAATTGTAATGAAACAAGGTGGAGTTTAAAGCCAAGGTTGGGGAAGTGGTCCTGCGTGGGTGGGTGACGATTGGGTGGTTGTGGCTCCGCCTGCGGCAACACCTGAGCGCACTCATTTGTTTGATTACAAGCCACGAAAAACGACAATGAGCCCAATTTGAAGATGGTAAAGTAAAAAGGCGGCAGGTGGTGGTTGGCAAAACAGAACCGTCACAGCTCCTCCCACTAATGAAAAATATTTGGCCATTCATTTTGTTAATTTAAACAAGTTGATCTAATATAACCAGGTTACCCAATGCTTTTAAACACAATTTCCCATCTTAAATTAGTTAATTAATCCTCTTTAGGATTTTAGTAGGTTTGCTTGCAATTATGCTTTTATAGGTCTAAGTTTTTAAGATTTCGAGTAACTGCATTCATTAATTTTTATAAAATTCCGGAAAACCCGATGTTGCAATGTTTTTAACTTTAATTTAATTGAACCAATTAAAATTGGCTAAGTCTTGCCCTAGTAAGTTAGTGTTTATAATATAATCTTTATTTTTTGTTAAACTTTAATTTTCAATCCATCATCAACTTGAAAATGTATCACCTGAGTAAGCTCTAGTTTTTTTTAGGATCCTTCCATTTCAAATCAATTAGTTTCTTTCAGTGCTCAGAGCTTAATTTCAGCCTGGGACAGCGCTTAATTGCCCGACAATGCAGCTGCCTCGGAAACACACGCAGTTACACATCCTTCTGGGAAGATTTGCCCAACCTCATTTGCAAAAACTGACAGGCGCCAACGTCAAACCCTTTTCCCGCGTTTCCCCTATCCAAACTCTGGCCACAGAAGCCCCCTGTTGCCACCATAATGACTCACTCACTTTGTGGCAACAGAGTTTACCAACTGCAGAGGAGTCGGGTTTCGCTGCTCTTTTGCCAGTTCACATTTTTGCTTTTTTTTCTGTTTTTTGGGAGGTGTGACAGGCCACCGGCTCAGTCAAGGAAACCTGTATCCTATAACCCAAGTCCTCTGTTCTGGCACATGTAACACGGTGTACTCTTCGCTTTTTTGAGGGATTATTTTAATTGGTTTTCGAAGCATGAAGTGAAAAATGAAAATTTTTTGGCCAACAAAAGAAGTTATGTTTAACATCGCCAACATAAAAGTCTCATTAAAATTCGATTCTACTTGTACACGGTAGACATTAAAAACAAACATGCTCGAACAAATTTTCTGAGCGCGTAATTACTTTATGTTGTAACAACAAATACAATTACATTACTCCCAAAGGAAAAAAAAAAACAATAAAAATAAATTTCTGAAAATTTTAAACAGAATAAATAGCAAACCAATTTTAAAAATATTTTTCCATACTTTTCAAGTTCTATTAAGTTACTTAAACACCAGGCTTAATTCTACTTTTACTTTTTTACGCTGTCATGCTTGACAGAACATTTTAATTAAATTTGCACAAAAGACCCAGTGATGCTGCAATCGAGATATTTGAAAATGACATTTGAGTTATTTGCACAGCAGTTATGGAGATATTTAGAGTGAAATAGCTGATTATTTTTTTGTAATTCATGTTATGTCATTGTTCTCTACGGATTTTCCTTTTTAATAAATTTCCGAAAGCCACAAGCTAGCTCTTGGTCTTGGTCATTTTAATCAGCATTTTTTACTTAGCCGCAGCATATTTTATTTTGCGCTTCAATGTCCTGAAAGTGACCGACGCAGTGGCAGCTGTTTACCCGCCCACCGAGCCCCCAACTGCCACGCCTCCTCTCCTTGACCGGACTCCGTACACACCGCACTTTGTTATGTTTTGTTTGCCTTTGCCTTGCTCTCGGGCCTTTTGTTTGCACTTCTCGTGATTTTTCTCTCTCTGTGTATTCAGCAGTTGTTGTTTTTTTTTACCATCTGCTGCGGCGAAGCTGTGGCTCAGTTTTTAATCAAAACATAATGTAAAAAGGATGCTAAATACACAAGGAAAGTGGCAGGCACTAACCCAACAAAGTCGTCCTTCCCGCCACCGAATCCTGCCTTCTAAAAGTGTTTGCCCTGCTGCTGTTGTTTTTGTGTCGTCCATTATTCAAAGCATAATGTCACAATAAACGTAAAAGGTGCAAAATATTGCCCAGAGGCAACAAGCAAAAGCAAGTGCCGACAATGAGAATGAGCAGTGACAACACAAATATACAGACAAACTTCACTAAATCAAAGTTCCTTGAGCCAACTTAAAGTCTTTTATTTCAATAAACTTTAAACTTTCGAAAATCAAAAGATTTAAGAAACCTTAAATATATTTGTGAATTGCGAAAACTCTTAAATGAACACCATACGTGTTCTAAACTTCTAGACATTAAAACAACTTTATTTTGCCTAACTGGTTCGAGTTCAAGAATTTGCACTGTAGTTACAAAAGCGAGTAACAACAAAAGAGCCGTCGTAATAGCAGCACAACAACGACTACAGCAACAACAACAGTGACAACAACAACTCAACTTAATAACACTTTGCAGTTGTCGTTGCCCAGGGCACTCACCCGGTATTTCCCCACCCGAATGACCTCCTCCATTTAGAGAGACTGCATAAATTTGTAAGGCAGAACCGGGAAAGAAAAAAGTTGATCTTCTCCCACCTTTCTCCGTCCAGTTAGTTGCTGTTGCCGCAATTGTTGCGTGCCCGTCAGTTAGGCAGTCAGTCATTTATTCGGTCAGTCAGTCATTCGCATGTCCACGTGCGGGGATAAAAGCGTCAACACAAATGACCCGCTGGCAACTTGCATCTCTCACTGGAGACGAGACGTCTGCATCCGACAGCTTAACGGAATTTCAAGCACCTAGCAGTGACTACACGGAAATTGCATTTTTCAGATACGTCCCCACTGTGCTGTTTCCTTTGGATTGGGGTAAAGACATTATAAATTATGAAAACATGAATATATAAATTGAATATTGAAGTTTACCATGTCTTACTCAAAATAAATTAACAAATCTCTAGCAACCAAAAAAATTAAACTGTTAACCATTAATCTTTACTTTACATTAACCCAGATTATATATAAGTATTTTTTATGTCAGTATGTGATAGTTATTACAGAGTTTAATAAAAAAATTATTTGTTAAAGAATAAAAAAATAAAAAAATGTACAAACTTTTAACTATACGGTGCCAGGCATTTTCTTCAAAAGAAGTATAAAAGAACGGAGGGAAGAAACTCTAGTCATTGACCCAAAGAAACTGTTCTCTTTAGTTTTATCTATATCTCTGTCTTCTGCTACCTGAATTGGTCCGCGTAATTTGCCTTTTGTTGGCTTGTAGTCCACTATCTCGGCACAAGTTTTTCCACATGTTTGTCACGTGTGGCGACTGAGCTCAATTACGCTTGCCCTCCCCCATCGAACAACACCCCTCCTGCTTACCTCCTCCTTTTGCAACAACTATCGTAGAGAAAGCACTTCACAAATTGAAGTGCATGGAAAGAATTAGATATAGAGAATGAAAGAAGAAACAAGCACTTCCGCAGCTATTTTCCCCGTTTCCCTTAAGCGAGCATTTGTCGATTGTTATTTGGAAAATGTCAAAGACAATTGATGTTGATCATTGTTCAGCGCTAGAGATCTTGCGTTACACAGAAAGAAATTAGTGGCAGACAACAAAATAAAACTCTAAAAAAAATGTAACATTTTTTTTCCAGGGGTTCTGCCAAAATGTACCACACTGATATTATGTTTTAATCAAATAACTGATAACTTTTTTAAATAAAACTAGCCGCTTTCTCTGCCAAACATTTTTGAAGAATTTGAAATACAATTTTTAGACTTTTACTTTTAAGACTTATATAAAACATACTCTTCTAAGATATATTCATTAAATGTTCCTAGCAACGCTCTAGTGTGTTTCAGTGCCTGGACGTAACTCAAAAACGCGCAAAAAGAAAAAGGGGCCTGGATGTGAACACTTGCCCCGATCTCGCTTACTCTTTCGCACTCCCCTGGCCCATATGATGGCCTCTCGTTCGCTCCACTTTTAATTATAGCCACCTCGTCGTCGGGGCGTCGTCTGCGAAGCGGAAGTTTGTTTAGGATATTTGGCATTGTGTGCTGGCATTTTACAAGCTCATGCAGCTGCCTGCATACGGCGCCGTCGCGTCAGACTCCCTGCCCTCGCTGCCCCATTTGGTGACTATATATCCGAGAGTCCATGATGCAAATTATTCAAATAGCTCGCGCCTGCCTTTGGAGCGATCTGCATGCGGGCCATAAGCCCGACGACTTTGGCATACAAATTAGATGCAGCGATAATCGACTATTCAGGTTGACTGCTTCGGTTCCGTGACTCACTACCCACACCTAACCAACCACATCACTCCCCTAATCACCACCTCACCCACCCAAATGCTCACACGCATTACCTGCAGAAGCTTACCTGTGACGGGTTTTACTCCCAAGCGCCTTTAAAGCGAATTTTTCAGTCCAAAATAATCCCTTCTTTGATATGTTTGCCTGTGTAGTATCTGCAAAAGAGCAATTTTCCAGATACGATTTTAGTTTTTTTTTGCGAAACAAAATTCTCTGACATAAATCCAACATGAAATTAATTTTAATCCTGCTGAATCGAAGAGGAAAATGTCGCAGACACTAGTATGCAAGCACACTAAGAAAGGTGGTACACGCAAGTAAAATTGTGAAAAGTTTATACGAATAAAAAATAGGAAATAAAAAGTGAATTTGGAGAATATAAATTATTAGATAAAAACAAAAAATCAGACTTCTTTAAAATTAAATTTAAAAAATCGAGAAGTAATAAATATAAAATATATTAAATGCAGAAGTAATATATTTTCAATATATAAATAAAATGAGGACTAGAACACTTTTCTTAGGATTCTCTAACCATGACATAGAATTTAGAAGTAAATAAATTTTATTTATTGAAATGTATAGTAGGTACACATTTTCTTTTCTTTATGTAGTCACAAGGAAAATAATCATTATCTAACACTCTTAAAATGGGATTAAAATAATAATTCCTTCCGCATAAACCTGTCCAAGAAACATGCCCTTTGATTCCGTGTCTAGACCGAGGACAGCTTTTGTATGCCAAATGCTGCCATAAGGAAAGAGAATGAAAAAGAGCGCAAAAGGGCGACGGCAAAAACTTCTGCAGCGCAATAAAAAGCCGCACAGAAATCAAAAATCAAGAGTGGAAAACTTGCGGGCCAACCCCACGAGACGAGCGTAGGAAACACAGCAGCCCACCCAGCCACCCAGTGCAACCACCCCCCGTTCACCGCCTCTTTTGGGGGTGGCAGTTTGGCTATTTGCCTTTTGCGAAGGACGCAGGAAGCAGCGAGTATCGAGTCTGGATCAGAATTGCAGACGGGCCTAATGGGATAAACTACGTGTAGGACGCGCACAGCTGGGGCCAAAATAATGTAATTTTTCGAGTGGAAATTTCTAAAAAGGATATTTACAATATATAATTTTTTGTATATATATATATACCAATCAAAACTTGCTAATTTCCTTTCTATAATTTCTGATTAACTGGTTCTCCCAATATATTTGAAATATTGAAAAATACTCGGCTCACTTTTAATTGTGCAGAAGAAAATGTTGGTGTATTTGGTTAAAAATAAAACAGAAATTAAAAAAGAAACGTATTTAGTATTTACAAAATAAAATTGAAGAAAAGTGGCAATCAATATTCACCATTTCTTAGTTACTGACATATTGTTAATGAACTTGTTACAAAATTATTTGGCTTTAAATTAAAGCCTTTAATAGCTTGACCGCATCTGTGCATACAGTTATAATCCCAGACAGCCGTGTGACAAATTTTACGATAGCACTGGAGAAATACTATGCGCATAAAAATGCATAAATGGAAAACAGAACCTGCTGAAGTTCGGAAATTGTAGTGTGTGGTGTAGGGAAATTTGCATTTCCACTTCATCGAAATTCGATGTCTCGAAATAACCCCACTGACGGACAGACACCCACCCACAACCACACACACAGACAACCAGACAGGCGCCAACTGGAGGGTGGAAAACCGGTTTGTTTTGCCGGCGAAAATGCGTAAAATAACGGCAGTTGGAGTGCTTTTCCAGATTTTACTCACCGGCGAATTTTCTTTTTACTTGAAGTAAGCCACACGATAGACAGACTTTGTTTTTGCTTCACCTGTTTGTCATTCACACTTAGTATTTAATTATTTCTTTATTTCAGCTTTAGTTGCATTCAATATTGTAGCAGAGCTTTGTGGGTAAGCACACACGCGCGCACACAATCACAGAGCTTGATAACCCGTTAGAAAACGATCCGCGACGTGACGTCCGTACTGTCCAAAATTTTCGCGCGAATTAGAGGTGAAAGAACTTCGACTAGAGGTGGAGAAACATCGATGCCAACATCAATGTCATCGATGTTTTCAAAACATCGGTTACATCGATATCTTCCACCTCTACAAAAACGATTATTTTACATTTCTGTTGGGAAAAGAACGATTTGAAATTTCGTATTTTAAGCAAAACTAGCAGCAGTTTTTTTTCCGGGGGCAACAACGATTTTTTTAATTTTAAACTACAAGAGCGAAAGACATGTAAATTGAAAATATGAAAATATATTTGGTTTATCCCCACGATAATTTTCTGGCGTTTTTCGTTGCCAGACTGTCGGTAACTATCGATAGCAACTGACGTCCACGTCAAAATAAAATAAATTTATATAATTTGTAATTGTAATTGAATTGTAAATTCAAGAATTTGCGGCATTGGGTGACGTAGCCATTTTCAGCAACGGAAATTAAAACATAACTTCCCCGATGTGTTTATTCCGACTAAAGCTGATATTTAATTTCAATCCACTAGCGGGTATTTTAACATTACTTTAACTCACTTAGCATAGACTCGAACCTTTTAATGTAAGTATCGTAAAAAGAGGGTCGGCATGGCGTTAATTATTTTAGACGTTTTTTGATTTTAATTCGAATAATTAATTATAATGAAATTAGCAACGCAGTATAAGAAGATGGTTTTATGGCTTTATCTTCACTAAAAAACACAGAATGCGTTCGAAGAGAATTATGTTTCTCTTCGGTTTGATCAAACTTGAGCTTAAGTAAAGAAATTTGTAAAAAATATATGTTCTTACATTTTTGGCACAAAAACTTTTGTTGTAAACATCCGTTCAGGAATTCCCCTAATAAAAGGAATTTATAAACGGATCCACGGTATTTTTAAGCAACTGAGCTGCGGTCGCACTGCTCCTCAGGATTCAACCACAAACAAAACGCGCAATTGAAGTTGATCGGAGATAACCACGTATTCCTCCAGCTCCGTGATGACGGAAGTGCCGCCGAAGAAGCGCAACGCCTGCGTCATCGTGCTGGGCGACATCGGACGCAGTCCCCGGATGCAGTACCATGCCCAGAGCTTACTAGAGGAGAACTTCAACGTGGACGTCATTGGCTACCTGGAGACGCGGCCCCTGGAGGCACTGACCCAACATCCGCGATGTCGCATCCACGAGTTGACCGCCGTGCCAGTGACGAACCTCACACCCAAACTGCGGCTACTCTTCAAAGCCTTCTGGCAGACGCTCAGCTTGCTGATGGCGCTCATCTCCATTGGTCGGCCAAGCTTCCTGCTCGTCCAGAATCCGCCAGGGATTCCCACGCTGATCGTTTGCTATCTGTACTGCGCCCTCACTCGCACCAAGCTGGCCATCGATTGGCACAACTACACCTACACGGTGCTGGCCGTGGGGATGTCCGGTGGGGAGCAGAGTCCGCTTATCCGGCTGGTGCGTCGCCTGGAGCGCTATTTCGGCTCCAAGGCTCACACGCACTTCTGTGTGACGCGGGCCATGCAGGAAGATCTGCAGCAGAACTGGGACATAGGGTAAGATTTGGCTAAACCCCCCAAAAAGGTATCCGATCACCAATCTCTGTCTTATCATTTAGACCTGTTAACGTTCTGTACGATCGCGCGCCCTCTCAATTTCATCCCATCGACCTGCCCCAGAAGCATGAACTCTTTCTGAAGCTGGCCAAGGACTTTCCGCAGTTCCAGACCAAGGACAACAGCCAATCCGATGTGCTGGAGGCCACCGCTCTTACGCAGAAGTTGGCCAACGGCAGCGTGCAGTACAAACCCCAAAGACAGGCTGTCCTGGTGTCCAGCACCAGTTGGACGCCCGACGAGGACTTCGGTATTCTTCTCAAGGCCCTGCAGGCGTACGAGGAGACGGCGCAAGCGGAGCCCCTGGTGTACCCCTCCCTGCTGTGCATCATCACTGGCAAGGGACCGCAAAAGGAGCACTATGCGGCCGAGATCGACCGGCTGGAATGGCGAAAGGTGTCGGTGATCACGCCCTGGCTGGAGATCGAGGACTATCCCACTGTGCTGGCCAGCGCCGACCTTGGAGTGTGCCTGCACTGGAGCACCAGTGGCCTGGATCTGCCCATGAAGGTGGTCGATATGTTCGGAAGCGGTCTGCCCGTCTGCGCCTACGATTTCAAGTGGTGGGTACCAAACTCAGTAATTTGCATCTATTGATAGTTGTATTATACTTTTAAAAAATCGTATTTTAAACTAATAAGCGAACAACAGCTTTGAATAGGCAAATTTGCTTTAATATGTATTTGTATTTATAAAACTGTCAACTAAAATCTAGTAATAAGCACAGCCTAAATTAGTAATTTAAATTTGCGTTTTTTTTTAATATAATTGTATTGTTTGTATTTTTAACATTTTTTAAATGGTCCCAAAACAAAAATGAATAATAGATCCGATGTTTGTTTGCCCAAACATATTTTAAAAAACTTACAATTCAAGCAATATTGATTTAAGAAACGAAACTTCCAATCTTTTGTTTCAGCCTGAACGAACTGGTGAAGCACGGCGAGAATGGCTTTGTGTTTGGGGACCACGTTCAGCTGGCCGAACAGCTACGCATCTGGTTTGAGAACTTTCCAAATAATCCGAGTATCCTGGAGACGCGAGCCGGCTTTCAGCGCAGCCTGCAACAGTTCCAGGAGCTGCGCTGGCGAGAGAGTTGGCGTCTCGTTGCGGCACCCGTACTGGAGGCATTCCTCTAAGGCATTTTATGTTGTTTATTTAACAAAACGTTTGACAATTACACACTAAGGCAGACTCATTCGATTGCTTATCGCTTTTCACTTGTTAATTGCTTAAAATTCTTTGTGCACCAAGGGGATAGCACTTGCTCAGGTTGATAATATATGCGGTTCCCTTAATTTCTTCCTACGCCGCCGGCATTAGTTGAGATACGTTTGTGGCTGTGGATCTGTGAAGGAAATGTGTGGCTCCTACAATTGCTCCCTGCAGAGGGGGCAGGTCCTGGCGCCGCTGGCCATGAACTGCCCGTAACATTCGGAGTGCAGGGCGTGCTGGCAGCGCAGGTGCACCATGTTGGCCTTTTCCAGAGGGTCTAAGCAAATCGAGCAACTGTCGCCGGGCAGACTGAGATTGACGGGTTGGTTGCAGAGCGGGCAGTTTCTGCGAATGTATCGATATTCCTCGAAGCAGGCCGTGTCCAGAGCATGGCCGCACTTCATCTGGTGCATGTCACCCTGCTGCATATGCAGCAGGCACACGGAGCACCTGTCGCCCGCCACGCTGCAATGAAACAAAGGATTTGGGAACGCTTTTCTGGGATTTCACGGACTCCTGGACTGACCTGCGCCGCGTACGCTGATCCCTAAAGTTCCGGTAAAGGCTGGCACCCTGGTCGAACTCTTCGTCCTCATCCCTGCGATTCCTAGGCGGTTGGCGATGTCGCGGGGTCTGCTGGTAACTCGGCATGCTATAGTAAATAGCCGCGGCTGCTGCAGCCAAAACCACGCCGAAACCCATTATAATGTTCAAGTAAACCATTTTTAACTGCAATTCAAAGGATTAAATAACCAACTGATAAGGCAGGCCACAAGGTTTCCGTGAAATCCCCCGAAAATAAATAGAATGTCCACTTTGATGTGACCAGATATGGTCTTTAACAAAATTCCAAAACCAAATTAGGTCTTAAAATATATATATATATATCTGTTCATTGAAATTTTTATTTTTTCATTTGTAATATTTAATAAAGTAAAAATTTGAATAACAATCTCCTAATATATTCTGAGTCTCTTTTAACAAAAATGACATCAAAATGAAACGCGAAACTTTTGTCGAGTACCCTTACTGTTTTTAACGGTATTTTTATTTAAAATATACTAAGCGCAAGTGCCGGTATGTTTACAGTGTACTGTGCGAGTGTGGTATTTAACACATCCTTTGCGCGGGTCACACAGATTTTCAGTTTTAAGGAAAACAGTTTTGTGGTTTTATCGGGATAATACAAAGGTTGCAAAATATCTGTGAGTACAGACGTTGGCCATTGGAACGGGTTGCCAACGTCAATATTGATTCTGACCTGCAAAACGAGGCACCACCATCTTCCCCGCCATCCACCAAGCATACACAGACGCACACCCCCACACACGAGCAGACAGGAAAAGCCATTTTCGGCAGGTAATTAAGTAAAAGCCAAGGAGAGAACCATGGCGGATCGTGAGCGGAGCATACACGAGATGCTAAAGGACGCGCCATCGTTGAACGACAGCTGTGGGTCGGTGCACACGGGCACCGAAGGCGGCAGCCTGGTACTCGGGAGCGCCAGCAGCCACAGCATAATCGGAGGAGGACATGCAACCACGGGCGGTCCCTTTGGCGCCCCAAACAGTCTGCCACTAAGGAATCATTCAGGTGAGCTGCTTACATATGCCTGGACTATTGTCTGCAATCCTGACTCATCGTATCGATCAATAGCACCCACGACACCCATGTCGCCCAGTAGTCCCCCGTCTGGCAATGGCACTCTGAGCCCTACGGACAGCGGGAGCGGCAGCCTCATACGCACTAGCGCCTCCAAGATCGACAGCCTTAAGAACTGGAGCATATCCACATACAAGTGCACACGCCAGATCATGCTGGAGAAGCTGGGCAAGTCGCAGCGCACCGTGGACTCGGAGTTGGAGGCCCAGATCGAACAGCTGCGCGAGACACAGCGGAAGTATCTGTCCATCTTGAGGCTGACGCGCGCCTTCAGCTCGCACTTCCAGCACGTGGTCGTCACCCAGCACGCCCTGGCCGAATCCTTTGCCGATCTCGCCCAGAAGAACCCCGAGCTGCAGAAGGAGTTCACCTGCAACTCGGAGACGCAACGCAATCTAACCAAGAACGGCGAGCTGCTGCTCAACGCGCTCAACTTCTTTATTTCGTCGGTTAACACGCTGTGCAACAAGACGATCGACGACACACTGCTGACGATACGACAGTACGAGACAGCCAGGTAATATTAATTCTTAATCATTTCAAACTCTTTGGTAAGATGAACACTTCATCGCTCTTTGTCCGTCATATTAAGTTTTCATCCCATAAAATGATTGTCAAATGCACTTTTGATGTATTTAAATGCTTATTATTTTTATTGTCAAGCAACATGTTGGTCTTAAATTTAGCTTACTTAATTTTATTGCTCTAAAAACAATCTGGCCCATTTCCTTTTAGAATCGAATTCGATGCCTATCGCATGGACTTGGAGAACACCAAGCCGGAGTTGTCGCCCTCCGCTGCAGCTTTGGAGGAGACACAGCGTAGCTATGCGCAGCACAAGGAGCAATACGAGAAGCTGCGCTCTGACGTGGCGGTCAAAATGCAATTCCTCGACGAGAATCGCGTAAGTAAACCCAACGAAAACACAACGTCATTGAGATTAATCCCCGATATTCTGGCGATAGATTAAAGTGATGCACAAGCAACTGATTCTGCTGCACAATGCCATCGCTGCTTATTTCTCGGGCAACGCCATGGCACTGGAAAGTACTCTAAAGCAGTTCAACATAAAGGTGAGACTGACGAACTGTCGAAAAGGTATTGAATGATTAAAATTTTTTGCACTGCAGCTTAAGTCACCGAATTCCGTCACCGGATCCTGGCTGGAACAGTAAATCAGAAGCTCCCTCCCATACTTGAAACATTGCAGACGGCATTTAGGCGCATCTAATGGATGGAGACCTTCTCCACTCACTTGCTGAACGAGCACGCTCTCTAAAAGAAACCCGAAGCCGAAAAAATCCACGTTCATGCGAATATCCAACGCACTGGATGCTGCATGACAAACCGTAACAATATTTACGTGCTAGGCTTAAGTTGAATTCCTAAGCCGTAAGCAGAAAGTGGTAAACTGTATGTTATATATATATATTTTTTCAACCGCTTTCCACTGTATGTAACTTTATGTATTACTCACATATTCTCACACTTGGTACGCCACAGTTCCTTTGATTTATGTTTCCAATATGCCACCTTTCGTGGGGTAACTTATTGCGCTCTGCTTGTGAAACACTTAGACCAAAAAGTGCTTAGTGCAACCCATTGTTTTAGTTCTAGATATTGTGTGTGTGAAAATTATTTGTAATTCACCCAAAACGAATAATCCATAACAAATCGAAATGTTTCTGCGAGCTTGCGTAATTTAAATTCATTGTTTTACTAGTCAACGTATTATTTACACTAAAAAGAAGTCTATATATAAAAATATATAAATAAAAACTATTTAATTACACCAAAGGATTTAGTTTAAGTTCTTCTCCAGTTTTAAGTCACTGAGTTTCTCGTTCAGGGCGGATTCCTCATCTTCCTCTGCCTTAAACATTTCCTAAAGTGTTCCTTGTTTTTAGTGGGATTTTTCTAGATGATTTGCATGATTCACTTACCGGATCGTATATAACTTTGATGACAAGCGAGCAACTGGGACAGGTTGCCACCTCCTCGCCTTCGATCAGTTCCTCCTAAAGTGGAATATAAAATTGAAAAAGGTCTTAATGCGTTGCGTATACGCCTTGTTACCTTGGAGATCTGAAATCGATCGCCGCAGGGACAGGGATAGTAGTACATCTCCTCCTCCTCGTCGTACTCGAAGTCCTCGATTTCCACCTCGTCGTGATAGATGCTCATGACGTTGTTTCTTTCTTTTTCAGGGATTTGAACTCATGATATACAGTTTACCATGTGATGATTAAGATAAATCCACGCCAAACAAACATGCACGTTGCGCTGCAGTGCTGCCAACTCGTTGCACAAAACAGCTGATCTGGTAAACAACTGACCAAGAAAATGTTTTATTTCGTATTATTGCATGCCGACTGCAGCTGTGGAATAAGAAATAGTTTTAAACAAATTTAATCGGTATATGTTATTCAATTTCTACTCGGATCAGTTAAAGAAGTTTCGCCAAATTACCGCACAAAAGAGTGTAACTTTTAAACAATTGGCTCAGAAAATATTTGTATAATACTCAAACATTTATATCTTAAATAGACGAGGAACAGACGCAAAATGGCAAGCAAAAATAAATTCAGTGACATCAACCTGTACGATCTTTTGGGCATTTCCTTGGAGGCTGATCAAAATGAGATACGCAAGGCATACCGCAAACGGGCTCTGGATTGCCATCCCGACAAGAATCCGGATAATCCGCAGGCGGTCGAGCGCTTCCACGAGTTGTCCAAGGCCCTGGAAATACTCACCGATGCATCTGCCAGGGCAGCCTACGATAAAGTGCTCAAGGCCAAGAAGGCGGCGGAGTTGAGGAGTCGCCAGTTGGACGGGAAGCGGCAGAAACTCAAGCAGGAGCTGGAGGAACGGGAACGGGCGGCACTGCACAAACTGGCGAAGAGCCAACCCTACAGCACGGTGGGCAAAAGCGACGAGGAGCTGCTCCAGGAGCAGATCGAGCGGCTCAGGCGCGAGGGATCCCGACTGCTGGAGGAGGAGCAGCGGGCCATGCAGGAGCAGTTCCGGCGCAATCACGCCGAGAAGCAGAAACTACTGCAGCAGCCGGTTCAGTTCGATTCCGCCCAGCATCGCATCAAGATGAAGTGGAAGGCTGATCCTGGGCAGGATTACACGCAGGACCAGCTGCTCAAGTACCTCAAGAAGTATGGCGACGTGGTGGCTCTGGTGGTTAACAGCAAGCGACGCGGACGCGCCATGGTGGAGCTGGCCACCCGAGAGGCCTGCGATATGGTTTTGGCCTACGAAAAGGGCGATCCCGCCAAGCCACTGCACTTCGAGTGGGTGTCGCCGCCGGCGGAGCAAAAGCAGTCAACCAAGGGATCCGCCGCTGGGTGCACTGCCTCATCCACGGACTACGAAGACCTGGTCATGCGAAAGATGCGACAGGCCGAGGAACGGAAACGGCTAATCGAGCAGATGATGAAGGACGAGGAGGGCAATGAATAAACTCTAAAGTAGTTAATTTTATGTTATTTAAGTGCTAACAATAAGACTAATTTAAGTCATTTGGTTAAAAAAGCTGAGAAGCAGCTTGATTTTAAAATAAATAGAAATGTAAATTTAAAAACACGAAATTCAAGTTTTTTTGAGTTAGATGTTATTCTGGAACTCCCCTAAAAGTTAACAACAAAGAAATATTTGTAGGCACCAACACAAATTTTCAGATAGCAGTAAAAAAAATAATATTTACATAAACAGTATATTAAAGAAACTACAATGAATTCACAAATTGAAATTTATTCAATAAAACCAAATAGCAATAAATAATCTTTCAATTTGAAAAAAAATGTTCGTTAAAAACTAAAGGCAAATAGTAGTCTAAAACAAAATTTCCCTAACAATGCAAATATTAACAAATTTAAATTTAAAAGTTTTTCAAAAATGTTAAAGCAAAAAATTGAATTTTTACTTCCCAAAAAATTGTTTACTGGTAATCTGATTTTGGTACTAGATTCAGAATCTAAAAAATCATAAAATGTATTTAATTTTTTTAAAATCATAACACTGGCAATTCTTAGTGTTTTATCAATCTCGACAAGTTGGCAGCCCTGCCTACCAGCTGCTAAAATTTGTTAATTGAAAGAAATGCAAAAATGCCACGGAAGAGAAATAAATTGAATAATTAAGCCAACTAAAAGTTAAGAGACATATAACGATTGAAAACGAGATGGAGAAGCGACAGAGGGAACTGGAGGCGCTGGTCTCCACCCAGAAGGAGCAGCTGGGGCGCTACGAGAAGCGGCTGAAAGGTAAGCAATGGAACTGGCTGGATTTTGCAGTGCATTCAGAGTGATTAACCGATTTGCAGACGTGGTCACTGCCTACAAGGGTCTGCTGAAAGAGAAGGAGGCGCTGGAGACGAGTCTAGCGGCGCACGCGGAGGCCACGGCGGTGGTGGAGTCCGGATCCCCGGCAAGAGATGTAGAGTCGCAGGACAGCAGCAAAACTCCGGATTCCGCGGACGGAGCGGTTGAATTGGCTTCAGGGCCATCCGCTCCTCCTGCCGAAGGTCAGCTGCAGACGCAGATCATCACACTGATGAACTCCCTGGCCACGCTCTCCGCCGAGAAATCCCGCATGGAGGCCTCCTTTCAGGCGGACAAGAAGCAACTGCGCAGCCAAATCGCCCAAAAGGAGCAGGCCATCCAGGAGCTGCATGTGCGCGCCAAGGAACAGACGGCGCGGGCCAAAAGCGACGTGGACGAGGTCAAGGCCAAGTGGATTGTGGAGCGGCAGGAACGCGAGAAGGAGACCAACAACCAAATGCTTATGATCCGCGAGCTGCAGAAGCTCTATGCCGACGAACGTCATCTAAAGGACAACATCGAGATGCAGCTGAACAACTTCAAGACGCAGTTCGCCAGCAACGAGGCGGAGAACAGCCGATTACGGGAACTGCAATCCCAGTTGAAGGAGGCCCGGTCACAGCTAAAGCAATTCCAAACCAAGGCGGAGCAGTCTGCAGCTTCGGCCGTCAGTGCGGATAGTGCTGCTCTCCTGCAGCAAGTGCGGCTGGAGATGCAGCAGCTGAAGGAGCAGCATGCGGTGGCCATTCGCCAGGAACAGCGACGTGTCCTGCGGGCAGAGGATCAGAGTCGCAGGCAGGCGGCCCTTCACGAGGATCGTGTGGCCAGTCTGGAGGCGCGTCTGGCCGAGCTCAGCACCACCGTTGGCAGCTATGATCGCCTACGTCAGCAGGATCAGGACAGCATTCATGCCTTAAAAAAACAGTTGCAGGACCTAGAGCAGGCCCACGTGCGTCCCACGTCCAATCTGAAAGCTCTCAACGAAGATGTGGATGTGGCCACGCTGGTGGACGAGATGGTGCGCCTCAAGAAACTGCTCACCAGTGCCAATGCCCGATCCGCAAATCCCTTGGATCTCGGCGAGATTCTGTCTCTAAGCGGCCAAACATCAACGCGTGCGGAAAGCCACGAACATTGTGAGCAACAGCTTCAGGAAGCCCAGCAGATGCTAGAAGCAGCCAAGCAGCAGCGCCAGTTGCTCGAACAGAAGGTTCAGCTCCAGCACTCGCACATCCAGACGCTGCAGGAGAAGGTGCAGGTGCTCAATCGCAACATCGACGAGGCGGAAATCGATCTGAAACAGCAGGGCGAGAAGCTGCGCTTGGCCTTGAAGAGCGAGCGAACCAAATGGCAGGAAGCCAAGGCGGATTTGGAGAACGAGACACGCTGCAAGCTCAACGAACTGGAGCAGCTGTTGCAGAAGCAGCGCCAGAGATCGCTGCAGCTTCTTGACGAAAAGGAGCAGGAGATCAAGACGCTGCAGACCTCTTTCGAGGTTTTTCATTCGGCCAGCGGCGTGGGCAGCACTCTGGCTACTCCCACACTAGAAGCCGCCGCAGAATCTTTCAACTACTCCTCCGATGCAGACAGTGTCGAAGTGGAGGGTGAGCAGAGGGAGCGCAAGCTAAAGGTGCGCTCCAAGAAGATGTCGCTGGGCGAAAACTGCCACATGCTGCACTACGCCAACGAGTTGGCTCGAAAGGACATCGAGATCACCAGCCTGCGCAAGGCCAAGTACGTCGCAGAGTCCACGCTGAGGAAGGCCATCCAGGACAAGGTCACCTCGCAACAGGAGATGCATGAGAAGATCGAATGCCTGGAAGAGCAAGTGGACAGGTGCGTCCTTTGTCACACTCTATGTTAAGATACTTTGATAGCTTCCTTTTTCTCCTCAGACTCGAACGGTGCAAGACGCGCGAGGGCGCCAACCTGGAGTATTTAAAGAACGTGATCATCAGCTACATTGTTACCCGGGATGCGGACGGCAAGCGCCACATGCTAAACGCCATCTCGGCGGTGCTGCAATTCACCACCGCTGAGATGCAGGCGATCAATGCATCATTCCAGAAGAAATAGAATTCGTATTTTGTTTAACAAATCATGTGCAACATATTTAAATCCTTAAAATCAGATCATAATTTACAAACTAACTAAACCCGACGACGGGATATTTGTCAAGGTGGGAAGCTAGCACGCCGGGAAACATGGCTAGGAACTTGAAGCGGCTGCCCATTTGGTCCTGATCCGTTAGCATCTGGTAGCCAGAGCGAATGATGTCCTGGTTCTCGGGCAGTGCGTGTGCCAGCAGCTGCTCCAACCGAGCTTCTCCCTGCATTCGTTGCAGGAACAGTCCCTGTTCCACGGGCCCGCAGCAGTGGACATTACTGCGGGTCTCAGCGGTGTGCCGCACCAACTTAAAGTCCACATCGGCCGTGAGATCAGCGCTGCCCGGCTCCAGCAAGGGATTGTGCAGCTGGTGTTGCTTGAAGGCCCGGAAGGTGTCTGTTTTCTCTCCAAAATGTCCATAGTCCATGATGAGAGCAATGCCTCCATCCCGTTCAATGCGTTCTGCCAGGATGCCCACCTGTCGCTCCGTTTCCAGCGAGTATTCCAGACAGGCGCGTGTCTCGCCAGGCATGGGACGGAAAACACTCGAGACCGGAGTTTGGCTGCGTGAGAGCACATATCGGAAGTCCAATTGCTCCCCCTCAGAAGCCACATCGATGAGCACCTCCTGCCACTTTCCATCGACCTGTTGCAGCTTGTGCACGGGCAATGCGTCAAAGAATTCGTGAGCCAGCACTAGGGAGAACCCCTGAGGCACATCCTCAAGTCGGCGGTGCCAAAAGGCCTTCGTGCCAGTGGCAGTGGTGCCCACTTGGTAATGGGGCAGCTGCGAGTCCTCCGGTACGGTGTTGTGGGTGTAGCAGAATCGCTGTGCCTGCGACTTGCTCAGAAACGGACTAACCTCCACCATGTGCATGGAAAACTCGGCTCCCGCCTTGAATTTGGTGATCACCTTCAGCACATCCCGGGCCAGAGTGCCACGACCGGGTCCCAGTTCCACCACTTGAAAGGGTGATGGACTGCCCATCTTGCGCCACTCGCTGACCAACCAGATCCCGACGAGCTTTGAGAAATAAACATTTAAGCTGAAGCGTTACCAACAGAGTATGTACGGATGTAGCTTACCTCTCCGAAGATCTGCGATATTTCCGGCGAGGTTATGAAGTCTCCCTCGCGCCCGAACACATCCCGGTTCATGTAGTAACCCGCTTGGGGATTGGTCAGCACCTCACGCATGTATTCCGCCACCGGAATGGGTCCAGTGGCTAGAATCTTGGCCCGCAACTGTTTGGCGAGGCTGCCATGTCCGTTCTCAACTGCAGGCGATGATCCTGGTTGCTCCTTTGCCGGCTCCACCTTAGGAGCACTGCTGGCACCCAGATTTGGACGCCTCACAGACTTGTAGCTATAGCAGCGCCTGCTGCCGATCCTTAAAGCTTCGCGTAACATCACGAACCGGCCCAAAATTTCCTACTGATAACATATGAAAAATAGGCAAGCGAGTTAGTCGCTGCAGATACCCTGTGTTTTACTTAATTAAATTAAATAATAAGCTAACCTCTTTCTTGAATAGGGTTGAAAAGCAGAACTAACCTAGGTTATCAAAAGAAAAATATTGTATTTAGTAAATCCTATACTATGACAGTAGCTTCTTATTAGAAAGAAATCTAAACCAAACATAATATGCTTCGTTTCTTTTTACATACAGGGTATAAAAATCTGAAAGGGAGCTGTCCACTTGCTTCAAAGAAAACAGCTGATGGGGTATTCAAAAGCCGCTATTTAATTACTTCGAATTTATTCCTGCTGCATCTCACAAGCCAAAAAAAGGTGAAGCACAAATCCCATTGTTCTGGCATGGATACAGTTATCTGGCAGGGATTCACAGGTCTTCACGTTTAGCAGGGACAGCACTCTTGTGTTTTATGAACAGATTTATGTAGACTTGACTGGCGGTACTAATAATGTTGATCTTTTCTCGCAATACAAAGCTTTGGCAGATATAAAAGTGCTGTAATCTTCAACTTTTGTGTTCGGCTATAGAATGGAAAAAAGGGGTTAATTTCTGTTCTTTTATTGATCGTATACAAACGACTAGTGACCTAATTAGTTATATAAAACTTGTAATACTAATATAAATAAAAATATTAAGTGAATATCACCCATTATAAAACTAAGGTTAAATCTGCTTTCTAATCAATTGATAGAAACAAATTAAAGTTTAGCAAGAGCAGTCTTTCCCAAGTTAATTGAATTTAAGACATTGATTAAATAAGCTTAGCCAAAATCATTTTATTGATCGCTGCTCTACCGCAGCAGTAGGCGGTAGAAACAAGCAGACAACTCTGAGCGCAGACAATATTTTGCTTAAGCGGTGGTGGTGGCGGCGGCGGCAGCAGCGCTGGTGGCAGCGGCGGCCTCCTCCTTGAGACGATCCTTCTTCAGCGGACCCATGAAGGCCAGCTTGTCGGCAGGAGTCTGGAAGCGACCATGACCCATCTTGGACGAGGTGTCGATGAACTTGAGCTTGATCTGCTCCAGGGCCGAACGCTTGGTGTGCTTCAGCAGGGACTTGCGCAGGGTGATGATGCGCTTCTTGGAGCCGATGCAGCAGCCCTTGATCATGACGAAGTCGTTGTTGACCTCACCGTAGTGGGGGAAACCACCCATGGGGGTGATGCTCTTGTCGGTCAGATCGTACTCAGTGGAGGCGTTGTTCTTGATGACCTGCAAGTGATAAATATGGGGTCAGTCTATTTGTTGTGTAAGGGAGAGCATTTGCAATTCCATCTTTTTTGGCTTAAATCTGTGATCAGTCCTATCATTATAAATATCACGGTTCATCAAGTTTTTTGTTTGTTTCGATGTCGTTGTTATTTGGTTTGTTATCATCAGAGCAACAGATTTCTAAAGCCGCATCAAGATAATGGTTAAATTAAGATGGCTACTACTGCTTACCTTGCCGTCCTTGGTGTGGATGCCAGCACCGATACGGTAGATCTTCTTGTTGATCTCGGTACGGTGGTGGTAACCCTTCTGACCAGCACGGGCCACGGTGGTGGACACACGCGACGGATGCCAGGCTCCAATACAGGCCACCTTGCGCAGACCCTTGTGCGTCTTGCGGGGCAGCTTCTTGGTGTGCCAACGCGAGGTGACACCCTTGAATCCCTTACCCTTGGTCACACCGACGCAGTCGACCATCTCGTCCTGACCGAACACGTTGCTGACCTGGATGGGTTTCTCCAAGTGCTCACGAGCCCACTTGACCTTGTCCTCGATGGAGCCACCGTTCAGCTGGATCTCCATGACATGGGCCTTCTTTTGGCGCTGCTTGATCAAGCGGATCTAGAACAGGAAGAAGACGTTTTCAGTTAGTTACATTCATCTTCAGCACATTGATTTGTGGGACTGTGCGTGATATGGTTTAACCGCGCTATCATCGCCTGAGCGGCTCCGCACCGTTACTGGAATATATCAAGCTCCGCCACCCGAGGGGCAGTTTGCTCTGCGACGTTGCATCCCTAAACTGTGCATTGAATACCACAGCACGAATGCTTTTTAGGCCAGGCGCACCAGAGGCACCGGGCCCGAGGACCCAGCACCAATGGCACAACAAGGCCAAGGACGTCGTGAATTGTAAGGATTGTAAGGAACATCTATATTTACCTGCGAGTGGGCAATCACACGGATCACCTTGCAGTAACGCAGCATCTTGCGGAAGTCATTCTCGATGCTCTTCTTGCCGAGATCATCGGTCCACTTCTTGCTGGCCTTGGTGAAGGCCTTCTTCTTGCTCTTGTACCTGGTAGACGATGGTCAAGTTGTAGATGCAATGGTCAGAAACGAGCGACATGATGCAATCCATTGGGATGTCTCAACAACTCCAACTTCTTAGCCGCGCTGTTCGTGTGGGGGCGAGATAGAACAGGAAGTGCACCTCATCGCAAACAAATGGCGAGCGGAGATGCGGTCTTCCATGTCGTGCTCACTCGTCAAGTAGTTTCAGTTAACCAGGGGCTGTGCCCAAGACCAAAATACTGACAGCTCACACAACTTTCAAAGATTTGAAAAGCTCTCTCAGCAAGCTGATCGAAGAACTTTATGATTGCATTTTTCATTTAATAAGGGGTTTCTTCAAGTTTAAGGGTATTTGGAGCAAAGGGAATTTCACAAACCAACCAAGAGTTTTCTAGTAGGCCGATCAGAAGGAAGGCAGCAGATGGTAGAAGGCTTCTCAACAATATTATTGCTCATTCAGATACCATCGTATCATCATCCAGACTCTACTAGGAAACACGTGGTTGGTGTGTGTGTACACACGGGGGCAAACAAAATGGCGACTAGAGGGTGGCAGACACGTGGTCCACGATACATACCAGTTCTTGTAGAAGCGACGACGGCACTCCTCGGACAAATGCTGGGCCCACACATTGACCAGGGCACGCAGACCGAAGGGAGTCTCGATGTAACCGACGGCACCGACCACAATCATGGGCGGGGTCTCAAGAACGGTGACAGCCTCGACCACCTCCTTCTTGTTGATCTCTATAAACGGACGAAGAAAAAAGCCATTTAGCGAATGCCACTATTTTGCACAATGATAAACTAGTTATTGGCTCAATCAGTCCGCCCTAGTTGAGATAATCACGGTTAATCAGTTGTGTTCTAACCATAAATCTTCTAGTTTACTCATCATGAAAGGGTAGTTTTGGGGCTCTTTGGGTGAAAACGAGTACTTACTGGATCCAGGACGATCGGCCTCGCGGACGATGTGCGTCATGCCGGCCTTGTAGCCGATGAAGCAAGTCAGATGAACGGGCTTGCTGGCGTCATCCTTGGGGAAGGCCTTAACCTTGCCGCGATGGCGAGCTGAGCGCTTCTTGGGGTAGAAGGCCATGGAGCCATGGCGAGGCGCTGAGAACTTGCGATGCGACTGTAAAATGGGCAGGATAAACCATCAGCAACTGTTACATTTTCGTTTTAAGGTTAAGTGAACACGTGGATGTTGCATTTGCAATTTATCAAAATAAAACAGCTTGGAGCGAGTGTAAATTGCATTGGGTGCAAGCAACCGATAGTATTTCTCAGCATCTCAAACAATTTACTTAAATTATCCAACAACTAACTGCTCACTTTTTATTTTTTATCTTTTTTTGAGAGCTGAACTTACCATGTCTGTTCTCTTCAGACGATGAAAACGAAAAGAAGGGAAGTGCTGCCGGGCAAAGCGAAGTTGGCTGCGATTAGTTGGCAGTGTGGCTGCCTCCGGCTCAGAAAATGTATTAAAAAATAATCTTAACGAAGCTTATCTCAGAGTCAAACCTCGGTCCAATATTCATAATTCGGACTCAATCCATTCGTGGCTTGTAACTGTTAACTGTCAGAGGACAGAGAATTAGATTTTTAGTCAACAAATAATCTGATTTTAAAAATAAAAAAGGACACACACATCTAATAAATTATTTACATTGTATTAAGATTGAGTTTGAGTTGATTGAGTCATCAACTGTAATTCTTTTTAAAAATTGTAATTCAATAATAAACTAAATATTTATTAAAACTATTCAATTTTAGACAGTTTATTTTTGGATCCGTGTGGTAACTTTAATTATTAAAGTTTATTAGTAATTGAAATGAAAATCCTCAGGATAAATGAAATAGGTAAATGCAATTACGCAAAACGCAAGAGTTCGTTTGATATTTAACATTCCGAAATTGCTGAATCGTTTAAGGGACACCCTTAATAATCTGTTGCGTAGATTTTTTAGTATTAAAAGGATACACAATTGCTTAAAATATAATATAATATTTATAATTTTTTAAACTATTTTAAATATTGATAGGATACACATGTCTTAAATTCATTTAGCACCATCTTGCAAAAGTAGACCTGTCTTTAAATGTAATTGTTCTATTTCTCAAAAAAATTATTTATGTTTTCAAGCAGCCGGACTAAATTTAGGAAAAGTTATAAAATATCAATCAGAACTACATGGTATAAGAGGCCTTAACAAAATAAATATAGCCAGGCCTTAAACCAATTAGGATTTTCGGTCCAACCAATGCGCGGTCCTGAGGCGTTTTGGCGCATTTTGTGGTAGTGTTCGTGCCGAAAAACCAACGAAATTCGCGATGTCGACGCTGGAGCACTGCGAAAAGTATTTTGGAACGCGGGATGTGTACCAGCTGATGGGCCTGGCCAAGAGCGCTGCCGAGAAGGAGGTGAAGAAGGCGTACCACAAGCTGTCCCTGCTGGTCCATCCTGACCGAGTGCCGGAAGAGCAAAAAGAGGAGGCCACCGAGAAGTTCAAGGTGCTGTCAAAGCTCTACCAGGTGCTGACCGACTCGCAAAAGCGAGCATTGTACGACGAGCAGGGCGTCATCGACGACGACGATGAGGCCGAGTCCAAGCTCTCGTCGTGGCTGGACCTCTGGAGCAAGATCTTCAAGCCCATCACCGAGGAGGACATCAACAATTACGAGAAGGAGTACGTGGACTCGGAGCTGGAGCGCACGGACGTGAAGAAGGCGTATCTGGGCGGGAAGGGGTGCATCAACTACCTAATGAACCATGTGCCCTTCATGAAGGTGGAAGACGAGCCGCGCATCCAGAAAATGGTCGAATCGATGATTGCCAGCGGCGAGGTGCCCGAGTACAAGATCTTCACCGAGGAGCCGGCCGCCAAGCGCAAGAAGCGCCATCAGAAGTACGCGCGCGAATTCAAAGAGGCCAAGGTCATCAAAAAGCGCCTCGAGCGTCGGCAGAAGGAGAAGGACGACCAGGATCTCGCCGACAACGGGGGCGATTTGCAGCAAATGATCCTGGCGCGCCGCAATCAGCGGGAGTCAAACTTCGGCTCTCTGCTCGACCGCCTGGTGGAAAAGTACGGGAATGAGGACGACTCTGATACCGTCGACTTCAGCGCCTTCGAGAAGAAGAAAAAGAAGTCTAAGAAGCCCGCCAAGCAGGAGCCAAAACCGAAGCTTAACGGAGTCAAGACTGGCCGGGTGGAAAAGACCCATAAATAGGGGCAACTGCCACTCACTATTGTTCTCTTAAACATATATTATCTATATTTAGTCTTAGTTACTCATATGTATTTATCCATGTACGTATACTTCATACCACTGCAAAGTGCATAGTGTGTCGGGATTAAAAGGACACAGATCATCAGCAGAACATCCTTTTTTATGTTGAAATTCCCCAATAAGTTTCAATCTTACAAATCTTATATCTTTACAGTCCGTTGGTTCGTAAGCAAATCAAATTAAATAAATACTAATGTTAATCCTGCGAAATTTTCTTTATTTTTATAGCCTTGGTCAGAAGTTTGTACGGCAATCAAGAAGATATTTCCGGCCCTATAAACTTTATAGAATAGAATATATTTTGCGACCTTATAAAGTACATAAATGTTTGATCAGCATGACAAGACGAGTTGTTAGCCATGTCCGTTTGATAATTTTGGCGCAGAACGGACATCTAAATCCTATAACTGCAATACGAATAACCAGGTTAAAATGTTCGATTTGGTTTTTTTCCTAATATAAATATAAATGGGTGATATATGTCTTTTTATATTATTAACCATTAAAAAAGGTTAAGTTATTTTAAATAAAATAAACTACATACATAATAAGGATATAACAGAAAAGATTTTCAAAACTACTTAACTTACAATAATTTATGTAAGCGTTATGAATTTTTTTGTATTTTTAAAGCCACAAAAACATTTAAAAATAAATTAATATTGATAATTGACGTCATCGCCATAACCACCTCACTTTCTTGACATTGTGTCTTGCTACCCCTGGTCACACTAAATACATAGATGCTAAATATAATTTTAATAAACATTGCGCACTTTCTGCTAAAAATATGAGATGTGCCGTGCCCAATTGCAGGAATGCTTTTGTGAGCAGATCTAAAAGGGATCCGGATCAGCAGCAGCAGATCGGCTTCTTTCGGTTTCCCAAGTGTCCGGAAACATTCAAACTTTGGCTCGCATTCTGCGGCTTCACCAAGAACTCCCTGAAATGGAAGAACCCATGCATTTGCATCGAACACTTTAAGGACGAAGACATCGAGGGCTCCCTAAAGTTTGAAATGGGTGAGTCCCACAAAAACGTCATCAAAATTGTTCAACTAATTCCTTGTATTTTAACCAGGACTGGCCAAAAAGCGAACTTTGCGACCCGGTGCGGTTCCCTGCATAATCAAAAGCCAGGAAAGTCCTTCCGAAAGAGCACGAAAGGAAAGGACACAACGGCGAAGGAACCAAAAACTTGTGGCCCAGCTCCTGGCGGAAGATAACTCCAAGTCGAGTGCTCCAGCGGCGTCCACGTTTGCCTGTCCAGAACAGGAAAAAGTGGACTTATCAGAGGCAGTAGCAATGAATTTCGATCCACTTATCGCCAGGGATCAGTTGGAAAAACGGGAGCGGTGTCGCATTTGCTACCAGGACTTTGTCGTGGACACCAGGGCGAAGGATCTTTTCGACCAGGCCAACAGTATTCTGCTCTTCCACATTGAAGTCATTAGTGGTGTTTGGGTTGGTCCTTGTATCTTTTTGCCAAAAAATATGCAATTAAACTCGTAATTATCCTGCAGATTAACCACAAACCAGACGAACCTCAACTTATGTGCCCTGCGTGCTTACTATCCCTGGACCAGGCCATCGATTTCCGGGAAATGTGCATCAGTACGGAGCTAAGGATCAGCCAGGCCGAGCCTTTAAGGAAAATAGATCCAGATGAAACCGAGCTAGAGGCATTAAACGAGCAGACTACTCCATCAGATACCGAATTGGTTTCGGACTCAGAGTATACAAATTTAGAAGAGATTGAAGATGCCAAGGAGGAGGAAGAGCTTTTAGAGGATGAAGTCGATTCGAATGACCAGTTAGATCAAGATCCAGCTATGGAACCCGATGAACCCGCCCCAAACGATCCGCTCAGTGTGGCTCTTGGGGCAAAGATCTTTAAAGAACTGATCGATCAATACACGGGGCGCGAAAAAACTAAACCAAAACAGGAGGCCTCAGCTGCGAAGCTGTCTAGGGGCAAACTAGCCGCAGCTAGCGACGAAAAGCCAAAGCTCAGGGCCAAACCCAAGACCAGAGAAGAGAGGAATCTCATACGCCGTGCCCAGCTGCGAGCCAAGCCGCCCAACTTTGTGTGCGACCAGTGCGGCCAGGCCTTCCGCATGTCCCATAACCTGCGGATTCACATGCTTCGGCACAGCCGCACTAAGAACTACCAGTGCAGCGAGTGCCCAAAGACCTTCTACGATGCCTACATGCGGAACATACACATCCGCATCAGTCACCGGGGCGAATCGCCCTTCGCCTGTCGTTTCTGCAGCGAAACGTTTGCTTATGCTGGAGCTCGCCAAAAGCACGAGAGGTTGGTAGTAAATATCAAACAAAATGTAAGAAGAAATCACTTCATACTCCCAACTTTCAGTGAGGTCCATAATGCAGCGCCCCGCCTTATTGTGAATCGAATCAATCCAAAGCCCATGGCTAAGCCACGGGATGACGTGCGCTTTCAATGTAAACTGTGCCACAAACATTACGCCTCCAAGTATGCGCTGGGCTGGCACATCAAGTCGCACACCGATGCGAATGCCTTTAAGTGCCAGCAGTGCAGCAAGAGCTACTCAGATCCCAACAAGCTCAAGCGCCACGAGAAGACCCACGAGAAGAGGCCGCTCCAGTGCGACGTCTGTTTGAAGGGATTCTACCAGCGGACGCGGCTGCGGGAGCACGAGGCAATCCACACCGGAGAACGTCCATATTGGTAAGTCACTTTGATTTTGGAATAGCCCAAGTTTTGATGTTGTATCCTCCAAAATTTCAGAGGGATATAAATTTAGAATATCTCTTAAATACCTTCGAATTGATAATCTTGCAGTCCGTTCATTATCTTTGCAGTTGCGAGGTCTGTAATGTGCACTTTCGCTACAAGTACAACATGAAGACGCATGCCAACAGCAAAATGCACCAGGATAACGTCCGAAAAATGGGCGGAGAACCAATACTTGAAGCCGAATGAAACGAGATATATTTTTCAATCGCAGTTGTTTTTTATGTATTTATGGTGGAGGGTTGCACTGATTTCGATTTACGTTTCTTTTTGCGTTCGTTTTCGATGTGACTGGAGGAGTTGATGTGCTGGGTGAAGTTGCCAGCGCGCAGAAACCATAGATCACATACTTCGCAGCTAAGAGAAATAAGAAATTAGCCAGGAGTGGAAAATTGACAATGAAATCTTACTGGAAAGTGCGTTCGCCCTTCTTGATAATTTCCCACTTGGACTGCGGCGCTCGTCCTTTCTTACAGGCCTCCCTGTGAATTGGTAACCCATGTTAGAATGGCATTAGGAGCCTCAATTGGACCCACCTTTCATGTCTCACTCGGGAACTGTTCGTGCTGTATTCCAAGCCGCAGAAGGTGCATGCGTAGGGACCCTCCGTGTGCTTCAGCTGGTGACGGCGCAACAGATGGAGTGTATAGCATTTTTGCTGGCACTGCTCGCACTCGAATGGCTTGGTGCCCGTGTGCCTCAGCAGGTGAACATTGAGATTGCTGGTGTCCTTGAATTGCCGGCCGCAATGTTCGCAAATGCAGGGCTTAGCATTCTGCCCATTGCGGTCCACAATCCGCTTCGGCTGTTTGTCGTCGATGACTTTTACGTGGATTAACTTTCTGCCCATGCGCATGGTGTGCTTGCTGGACTTGATTTTGGTCTTTATTTTGCCCTGTTCCGGCTTGGTAGTGACAGTGGCAGCCATTTCAGTCTGTGTTTCTCCGTAGTCCTCGGGCAAGGGCAGAGCATCATCGCCCGGAGCATCCTCAAAGCTGTCTTCTTGGAGCTGGTCCTCTTGATACGTCTCTGTTTTCTGCTCCATTTGGACCTGGGTGGGTTCCAATTTGATTTCACTGGCCGTCATCAGCTCGTCAATGCCCAGGGGATCCGAAGCAGCGCTTTGTTGGACAGGAAGCTGCAGCGCCACGGCCGCAGGATCCTCGCCGAGATTCATTCTGCTTCGCCGCCTGGCGAAATACTTCTCGATCTTCGCACACCGTCGGCGGAATCGTTGGACTTGTTTGAGCAGTGTCTGGCAATCCGGGCACATATGATTAGGCAGGTCCTGAGCATCCTGCAGCTGCAAGTTGGTAAACAACCTTTATTCGAAACTAAACCCATTGGAATTTCACGTTACTGCTCACCCAGCAGTTTGCTATGGAGCGCACGCACTGCAGCAGTTTTCGGCCCTCGGGTGAGAAGATCTGTAGGCACTGATCGGCCACTATGGTCTTGCCGCAGGTGCGGCAGAATTGCCTCATTTCATCCAATTAATTTGCTAATTACTCTATTCAAATTTATTTGTTTGACATGCACAAAACATGGGCCCGTTGGCCACAATAATACCGTAAGCCTGGCAATCCTAAAAGCATTTCTGACTTTCCCAGAGCTGGCCACACTACCCTGGAAAATATAGGATATATAGATGTGGACTAACCATCTTTATAACGGTAATTTTTTATTTATTTTATCGATATATTAAGAACACTGTTTGACGGCTAAACAAATAAAATAATGTTTATTATTATTAATTATTAAGTTAAATAGATTTTATTTCTATTAAATATGTGCCGAGGTAGTTACAATAATTGTCCAATGGATAATTGTACGTAGTTTAGCTTCATTCACATTTTAAAGCTCTATTTGTTCTATTTTTTTCATCATTTGTGATATTTTCACAATGAGCTTATTATTTGAGCTTTCCGAGTAAACTATTTGAATTATATTTTTAGTATTTAAAACACTCACACTATCGATAGGCAGAAGTGCTGCCCTACGCGATGAATGGTAACTCTGGCCGTTTCCGCCCTCCATCTTTCTGCATTGACTTTTCACGATGGTGAGTTCGCTGCTACCTATTTCTGCAAAATTATTAGTTTTTTACTGTGAAAGTGGCCTGCAAACAAAAGCAAAACAAGACTGAAGTTGTGCCCCAGAGCTGAGCCATGAAAACACCGACCACAGAACGCGGCATAATGTAAAAATCCGGGCGAAAAACAAACGCATGCCCTAACCTCGAAAGCGGCCAGCTCCAGGTGCTACTCGGTGGTCAATGAAAATGATTTATATTGTTATTAGTGCCAACGATTAACGAGTGTTATTTATGTTCTTTTCTCTAGCCGCCTAAGAAGGACGCAAAGTCTTCGGCCAAGCAGCCGCAAAAGACACAGAAGAAGAAGGAGGGATCCGGTGGCGGCAAGGCCAAGAAGAAGAAGTGGTCCAAGGGAAAAGTCAGGGATAAGCTGAACAACCAGGTGCTGTTCGACAAGGCCACCTACGAGAAGCTGTACAAGGAAGTGCCCGCCTACAAGCTGATCACCCCATCGGTGGTCTCCGAGCGTCTGAAGATCCGCGGCTCCCTGGCCAAGCGTGCTCTGATCGAGCTGCGCGAGAAGGGTAAGATTGCATTCTTATTATATTTATCTGAAAGTTCCTAATTATTACCTTCTACACTTTCAGGTCTGATCAAGCAGGTCGTGCAGCATCATTCCCAGGTCATCTACACACGTGCCACCAAGGGTGATGAGGCGTAAATGTTTTACTTTTTGCCCATTGCATCTCTGTAGTCGCATTCGCTTTACAATCGAACACTGATTGTATCCGGAGCAAAACTATGCCGCTGTGTGTGAAATGTTTAATAAACTTGCTTTCTTATTGATATAAGGGACATTTGCGTGATGTTTTATTGTTATGATACCCTCTAGTCGGAAGGTGTATCGTGGTGCAGTAGTTCGACGATGACAATAGAGTCAGCCGGTAAATGTTTCGAAAGCCTAGAATTTGTTAATGTGCTAAAGCTCGCAATTATATTAACATTCAGATCATATTCTTTATTGAACAAACCGGATCAATTATTCTATTTTGGTAGTTGACAACATTTATCTTTAACCCATTGTGGTATGCTTAGGAGTATGAACAAGTATTTAAATTACCATTGTCTTTTAAATACAGTTTACTTCGAAATACGATATATTTTGGTTTGTGTTAAGCTGCAAATGATAAATTATTAGCTACAAGACTGCTTTAGACTATCATTAAATGCATTTACTTAGAACAGTTCTTTTTTTTCTTATTTTGAGTCACAAAGAGCATATCAATATATTGGATGAATTATCTTGTTTTTTTTTCTTATTAAATGTTGTATTCCAATTTTGTTTATAAAAAGTATTGGTTTTGACTGTTTCCAATTAGAATTATCTTCCTCTTTTTCCGTTGGCATTCACCATTTATTTGTGATAGACAGTGAGCTCTCAAATGTTTGACTGCTGCTGGCATTATAAATGTCTTAAATCGTTGCCAATCAAGGTAAAAGAAAGTTTAAATACTCAATCATAAAATCATTTTAATTGTACATATATGTGTAGTTCACTAAAAATATATTTGAGCAGTCTTTTAATATTTATATAGTAAAAGTTAAGTTAAATGTCAAACAAACAAAAAAAAACTTTGATTTTTAAATTATATATGAGTTAATTTCATAAACTTTTTAAAACGAAAATTGAGATTATCATTACAATGCATTGAATTAAGAAGTATATTTAAATTACAACAAAATTTTGTAAATTTTTAGCAACTAAAAAATAATACGTTTGGGTTTTCACCCCTGCCCTGAAAACTATACCCAGTAAACATTCAGGACGATGCCCACTGTGTTTGCCATTCACAGCGAAACGGCATGAATTCAGCCAATATGTTTACGTGGTTACCTTTATTTTGATGACAACACGGCAGATTGGTTTGGTGTTGGCAAAGACGGGTTCGGTTCTAGTATCTGGCAGCCTGTAAATATGAATTAAGCTAGCGAAAACTCGAAGATCGACCAGCCCGCGCCCAACAACTGTGCAAACAAAGCCACCGCCGAGCAGGAAGCGTTTGGGTTGTGAGGTAATTTGCGAATCAAAAGGCTGTCGCCGCCGCACGCAGATAAAGATTCTCATTCTCGCGGTCCCGGCCAGAAACGAAGTGGGAATCACGGAATCAGCTGGAGCGCGGCTATAGGCCCCCGATAATACCACGTATGCAAACAAAAAGTTTTATCTGACCGTATTGACTATAACGTAAATCCGGACACCCTTGCAGATCCATATCCGACCAAGATGATACCGCTGTCGCACAAGGACCGGAGTAGTTTCGGCTACCGGGTCCGGGAGAAGCTCAACAGCTGGAAGAGACTCATCTTCTCCGACCGCAACTCCCGGAATCTGTTCCTCTTTCTGCTGCTCAACCTGAGCTTCGCCTTCGTGGAGCTCTTCTACGGCATCGTGACGAACAGTTTAGGTGCGTTCTTTTGCTGTTTATCTTATCCGGAGTTAATAACCCTCTTAATGGTTAATCCGTAGGCCTCATCTCCGACTCGTTTCACATGTTCTTCGACTGCACGGGTCTCTTGGCGGGTCTGGCCGCCTCGGTTATCACCAAGTGGAAGGCCAACGACAAGTATTCGTACGGCTATGTGCGGGCTGAAGTGCTTGCCGGGTTTGTCAACAGCCTGTTCCTGCTGTTCATCGCCTTCTTCATCCTGTCTGAGGGCGTGGAGCGGCTAATTGAACCGCCGGAGGTTAAGCACGAGCGGCTTTTTGTAGTTTCCGTGCTGGGCCTGCTGGTTAATCTGGTGGGAATCTATGCCTTTAACCACGGCGGACACGGTCACTCGCATGGAGGCGGTGGGCACGGGCACTCCCACGGCGGAGGCCATGGACATGGGCACTCGCACACCCACAACGACGCCGGCAATCACAATCACCAGGCCATCACCTTGGACAATGGTAATGTGATTTTACTGGAATTTTATTTTCACAAATGTCATTTATATTTACATTTTCCGAATTGCCTGGAATAGTGGCCCAAAATCAATTTCATAACGTTTCTGAAATCTTATTACTGTCTATGAATCTGCTAAAGTACATTATTTATTATCCTTTCTTAAAGTACAAAAAAAACATAGTAGGAAACTCGACAAAGAAATTTTTTATTTTATGTTTGATTCTTAATATCCGAACAATATTTCCTTTCTGAATTAACTTTTTAATTATTTTTAAGTTTGTGCTTAGGTTTCATGTTGCTCATATTAGAAAAGACCCAAATGAGTCTCTAACTATATTGAGTGGTTGATTTAGAAAATTGGTTTCTGATGATAATCTTCTAACGGTGTCTTTGCAATCTGCCTATTTCCAGGTCATGGACACTCACACGAACACGACAGTCATGGCCACTCGCATGGTGATATGTCGGGCAGCAACTCACAGATCATGCGCGGCGTTTTCCTGCACATCCTGGCCGATACCTTGGGATCTGTGGGCGTAATCATCTCGGCAGTGCTGATGCACATGTTCGGCTGGATGATTGCGGACCCCATCTGCTCCATCTTCATCGCCCTGCTGATAGCGCTTAGTGTGCTGGGCCTCATCAAGGAGTCGATAATGATCCTGATGCAGCGCCAGCCGTCCGACCTGGACAGATCGCTGCCGCAGTGCTATCAGAAGGTCACGGGATTGGCCGGCGTGTATGCGGTGCAGGAGCCGCACTTCTGGACCCTCTGCTCGGATGTCTACGTTGGAGCCCTCAAGCTGGAGGTGTCCAAGAACGTCGATCCCAAGTACGTGGTAACGCACACGCGGATGATCTTCGAGGCGGTGGGCGTGAAGCAGATCTACATACAGCTGGATTATGTTTGATCCAGATGCGATCGGTCTACCGGCGTCCTTGTACAATGATGTGTATATTTAACAATTTGTGCCACATGTTTATGTGCAGTGCGCACGAGCGTCGACGTTATCAAACATTATTTTGAAATTTTAGTTCACTTCGGCGACACAAAACCCCCATCACTTCCAAAAATCCCCTCCAAAAGCTAAGTAAAACAAAATGTGTAATCTTCAGTTGTACTAGTAATTTTGCGAATTTTTGTTAACTTATTAGCGTTTGTATTTGTTGAAATGCTTTCGGCATTCATTCCATTCTATACATACTGAAAGCATAACATAAGGTATGCGGTAGTCGATATCGAGGAGCATTAGTGTAATTGTAAGCTAAGCGAATGAAATTGTGCAAGAGTAAATATATATACTTAAAGTTTTTTTAAATTCAGAATGAACAAACCCCGAAACATGCATACCTACAAATAGCATCTAAATCTGACTGACATATTCACGGACTTTCCGCTGTGCGGTGGAAGTGCATTAAGTGAACCGTTTTTGCCACTGTTTAAAGCATCAAAATTATGAACGAAATAAAATTTAATTTGTTACTAGCATTTTTATACGTAAACCGAATTGAAGCTAGTTTTATTTCCGGTTGGTTGTTATTTGGATAACATTTTTATGTTGCTTATGGTGTCTAATCCCAATGAAAAATGACTTTTTGCTCAATCAGAAGAAGCACAATTATTTATGTTTTGTTTAAAAAAATGTTTCCGATATTTTTTATTTACAAAGGCATTTCAGTCCGAAAACCGTTTGTACAATGTTTCCTTTTAATCACAATTTATAACAAGGAAAGAAATGCAATCTAACTGATTAAATTTATTTTGTCAAAGGAATAAATGTTGTGTATTTCAAAGTTAGAACGTGAAAGTTAAATACAATCTTTAGAGGTAAAATTTGTAAACCCAACGGAGCATTTTTTATTGAAATATCTTCACAAAGCTTGTGAACTCCTTTAAATAATCTAAAAAATTAGAAAGGAATAAAACTTCAGCAACCCAAAGTTTATATACCCTTGCACCTGTTCCAAAAATTAAATATTCTTTAAATCAAATACATTTCTGATTATGTTTAAGGACATTGAATAATAATTCGACAATTCCTATGTCAGCTATATGATATCGTTTGCGTAGAAACGGACTTGACTCAATGGACTTTCCTAACTTCTGACTAACAAGGCTATAAAAATAATCATGTTTACGATTTTATAAAATTGGGGCAACATTATCAAAATATAAAGTTTGAATTTTTTTTATTTTCTATTTGTTTATAACGTTTAAAAAAACTTTTTAAAAATACGACTATATTTAAAAAAAATGTTTGCAATACTAAATTAAAACTATTTTTTTAACAGTTAACACATATAAATGTATATTGCTCGCCTTATAAGAAGTTCGGCTTAGTTTAGACTTGTTAGAAAGTTTATCCAAGTGAGTGCCCACTGTGGGCATCTCTCACGCGACGATGGCAATAGCAACAGGTCGACACGTTTTGCCGAAATGGAAATTGCACCTGTGCTGGTGCGCCCAGCCACGCCTCGCCAGCAGATAAAGTCGAACGTATTCCCCGCCGTAGAATTAGATTATAGAATTTTCAACTTGTAGCGAGAGCGTCGCATTCCGTTAGCAAAATTGAGGTTATGGCAAACACACAACGTGCGAAACTGGGGCAAGTGGCACTGCAGTGTGCGGTTAATAGTAGTCCAGTGCGCATGACCCCAAGTGTATACATAGGTGCGGGGGCACGTGTACATCACTGTCAAAGGTCAATAACTCCGCGATTGCCCAAAAAACAACAAAAGTAAAACCAAAGTCTGTGTGACTCAGACGGCGGTGATGCCCTCCCGCTCGCACTCACGCCACCGTATGGCGTCGCCTACCTACGCATAACTGTAAAATTAAAAGTACACACATTTGGATTTACAGTTGTATATGGTTTCCGTTTAATTCAGTACTGGTTTTCCCAATTGAGGTTTTTTATTCTATAAAAGGGTTTTAAGCGAAAATGCATACAAAATTTTAAGTTGTTGCTATCAAAATATTAATTTAATTACAATAGTTGTTGGCGCAATTCAGTTGTTTAGCTCGGTGTGGGGTTAAACAATAAACATACATTGAATAGAATTTATGAGAGCGACGGCCGAAAGAAATCAAAAATAAAATCGCACAGATCGAGGGACATGCTTTTCGTCAGCGTTTTACATAAATTAAGACTTTCAAAATTGTAACTAAGCTTCTGATAAATATATGTAGAAGGTATGCATGAGTATAGTGTGTTCCGGGGGGGAGGGGATAGCGATCCATTTTAGCATTTCTCCTCCTCAAGGCCGTGCTTGAAGAACATGAGCACGGGCACGCTCTTGCCATCGATTTCGCGGTATTCCACAAGGGCCACCATGCCATCGCAGTCCATCGATTCACCGGTGAAGAACTGCAGCTCCTTGAAGCGGCCGAGGATGTCCTTCATGGCCTTGTTCATGTTAGTCTTGAAGACGTCGACCTGGTCGGGCGAGTTCTCCTCCAGCTTGCTCAGCACCTTCTTCATGTACTCCTTCAGGTACAGGGTGTAAGATTTCTTGTCGCCAAAGGCGAAGCACTCCGACAGGCGGTGGTTCATAACCACATCCACTCCGGTCTCCGAAGTGATTTCGGTACCCTCGTCCGCCTCCTCCGCAGAGGCGTTGGCGCCTTCCAGCTTGATATCATCGCCACAACGGGTGATTAGCTTGCCATACACCTCATAGATCACGTCGTCCACCAACTTCATTTTGTAGGTGTCGGCGAACATCTCGTCGCCGGTGATGATGTCCTTGTAGATCTTCATGGTGATTGGTGGGTCTTCGGGAGTCGGAAGATGGCGTCTAAATCGCTGGCGAAAATGCAACTACAACAGCACCGGACCGGGAACACAACGAAACGACTTGCCACGCGCTCACTCGAACAGCAAAAAGAATGAGCGAGAAAAAATGGCGAATGAGCTGCCAACTCGCTTGGTGTCCCACAGTCCGGCAACGCTAAAAGCTGGTGTGGCAGCGCCTACTAGACCTATCGATACTATAAATCGATGTATTTATTTTATAAGGATCGACTTTATTGTAATTAGCAGTTGCATTTAAAGAATTCCACTATGCTTAATTGCATATCTTAATAATTATGTAAAAGTACAAATTTTAATTTAATTTGCAATTATTTATCGTTTGCTTTTACTGAAATCAGAACTTTTAATTTCTATAGCTTGTAACATATTATACAAATTTTAAATGTTATCCCCCAATGTCCTATAAATAAAGAACTTTCGTTAAAACAATAATTAGTTTAAGCAGTTTTCAACTCATAAGCTTTTTCATAGTTATTTAATAAAGGTACACGTAAGACAAAGACTATTTTAAAAATAAAGTTTAAACGTAATTAAAAATGTGGCAGTATACTATCGAATCGATAGTCGGTTGGTTCTAATCAAAATAGTGGCAGCACTGGCTGCGGTAATATTCGGCCCGCAGAGTACGGTCCCACCCATACAAGTTCGAGTGAAAAACAGGGAAATGTACGTAATTTCTGGAATGGCATTGCGAAAACCTGATTTGTGGCTGCTTTTTGCAGGTATGCACTCTCCAGTTCGCTGATCCGATCGCCGGCGCTGCGCCAGGGCCTCCAGATGGCCGCTGCCAGCCGTCAGGTGTCACTGAAGGTGGTATCCGTGGGCGCCACCCAGAAGGACGAGTCGTACTTCGAGAAAAACGAGCGCCTGGGCAGGAAGCTGTCGCCGCATCTGACCATCTATCAGCCGCAGCTGACCTCCATGCTGTCGATCATGCACCGCGGCACTGGATTGGCACTGGGTGTGGGCGTCTGGGGTCTGGGATTGGGTGCCCTGATCTCGTCGCACGACATCAACCACTATGTGACCATGGTAGAGGGTCTCCAGTTGAGCGGCGCCACTCTGACCGCCCTCAAGTTCATCATCGCCTATCCGGCAGGCTACCATACCGCCAATGGAATCCGGCATCTGCTATGGGACACCGGGCGATTCCTGAAGATCAAGGAGGTTTACTCGACCGGTTACGCAATGGTCGCCACCTCTTTCGTGCTGACCGCAATCTTGGCCCTTCTGTAAGCCCAGTTCCTCGGGTGTATCTATTAAATTCTAGTAAGAATATGATGTGAAAATTGTTATATACTAAATACATGTAGTGTGTATATTTATAATGCTATTTGTTGTTACGTAACCCATGTTGCTGCTTTGAAAGCGTTGCATTCGTCTGTTATTCTCTGCAGTTTGCCGGAATTGCGTGTTTTCTAAACGATCTTGTCAATTCATATGTACCTGAGATACTTGTGTGCCGCTTTGGAAGGCAATTTGAGGTCCAGCAATAGAATCAAGTATACGCCCCGAGTCATCGACTCTCGTTAACAGAATGCGTAAAGTTTGCGCCTGAAAATAGGCAATGCTTTAAATACATAATGCGTATGACTTTTTAGGACCCACACATAAAATTTTATATTACTGAACATTAAAATCGGCGCTTCAAAGCAGGCAAGTTTTAAAAACTTACAGATATTGATAGTTTAATGATTTCAATAATTGAAATTTTTATGAATTCCAGTTATAGGTATGCACAATGCAAGCAGTGTATGGAAATCTAACAATTTTGGAGAGATAAAAGTCGGCTTATCGATATAAATCATGAGGCCGCCTATAAATCAGAAAATTATAAGAGATCTAGACAATTATTGGTTATATTTTATATATTACAAGTACATATGTATATGTAAGTGCCATACGTACATTGGTGAAGCCATACGTACATTGGTGAAGTCAGCTCCTTTATTTTAATGTATTAATTTCGACCTAACTAGATTTTTATTTTAGTAAAAGGCTGATTATCGTCGCATAAAAACACTTTTTGTTGACTTTCTTCCATATTATGTAATTTATTTATTGTGAATTGTGGATTACCATTTGTAAAAGCTGCAAACTGTAGTGCAACGCTCGTGTATGAGGCTAAAATGTATCTAACAACTAATATCACAATCGATGTAATGAAATTGAAACTTCTGCTTTCTTCCTGGTGAGTTCTGAAACTGGAGTCCCCTATTGAATAGATCCATGTTTGCCACCCTTCGTTTCCGTTCCTTTTTCTCCATCGCTTTCCTTTCCATTATCCATTGAAGGTAGCAGTTCGAAGTCGCACACCAGGGAGAAGTGATCCGATGGATATTGGAAGCTTGGAGTGCGGTTCTTGCCGATTTGTTCGCCGGCCGGAAAGTCTAGACAGTTTTTGATCTGAAATGAAGAAGCAAATTATAGAAATAAATCATTTTTGAAATGTATTAAGTCAACTTAATATAAAATAGTGAATATTAAACGAAATGTATAAGTTGGTTGCAAACGGTAATCATCATACCTTGAGACGATCAGGTGTGTAGAATACGTAGTCGATGGTGTGACACTCTTCTCCCTCCTCGCGTATCTTCCAGGTGGTGTAGGGTGGCTCTCGTTTCATCGACTCCGACACGAACTCGCCCACATCCGCGCTGGGCTGCAGGATCTCCTCGCGGTCCAGCTTCACATCGGCATAGGCACTGCCCAGTCGGAGAAGATCGCAGCCCAGGATCGTGGCGTAGATGGGCTCTACGGGCTCAGCGTTAAAATCGCCGCACAGCAGCAGAGGAGTTTCGCCCGCAAACTGCTTCACAAACCGGATGAGATCCCGGCCCTGTTCGTTCCGCAACTTGGCCAAAAGGGCACCGTGCCGGGCCTTTAAGTGGGTGGTTGCCACACAGAACTCGCGTCCGCTGGAGCGCATTCGCAACCGTGCGGCGATGGCCACCTGGTTGCTCTGCACCCGCCACACCTCCAGTATCCTGGTGTCGTATCCTTGCAACTGCAGCTTATCCCGCTTGTAGAATATGGCGCAGCCGTCGGGTCCGTTGTTCTGCTCGATATACAGGCACGGCGAATCCGGTTTCGGAAAGAAGATGCCAGCGTAATTTTGGCTACCCAAAACCGTCTGCAGGAACTTGAAGTGGTCTACTTCCTATTTAAGCATATCAAAATAAACGTTAAAGCGCTACTGTCCTGATAATTTAAAATGTGGCGTATGTACTTGCAGACAAATCACATCGGGCTGGTTCTGTAGGATCTCTTGGACAATCAGGTACTTGCGATGCTCCCAGGTTAGCGCCTCGTCGGGACAACGCACGAATCCATCGTTGTGCTGACCGAGAGCTAATATGTGGAAAAATAAACCGAAGTTAGAGATTTTTCATTGAAATGGTGTACTTTTTTTTATCTAATAAATATCAAATACAATTATTTTTATTAATTTTTAAAAACTCACTACTAACTTATATATATTTTTTTTTGTGAAAATTTAATTGTATTGAGCGTAAATATCTTTTATTTTTATTAACAAAAATTTTAATCCAATGGTTGTTATCTGTTTGTTCTTTAGAGATTAATAAGAAAAAGTGTACAAGTGTGCCAAGGCCATATTAAATTAAATATTAGGCAGCTAAAACTGAAGATGACTTGTAATTTATTGGAAAAGGCGCAAACTTCCAAAGTAAGGTTTCCAATTTATTAAAACAGAAAAAAAAGCCTATTGTATTGAAAGACTTTAAATATTTTTACCCAAACAACAAATAACGATTAAACAAAATCTACAATTAAACGATACTTACTCTGCGAAAGAATGTTCCACTGCAGCAATCGAATATTCTGCGATGCGTCGCCCTCAACTGGCGCACTGCAAACTGCATAAATACATTAGTATATGTGCCTGGGACAAGACAAGGATGCAATCCTACCTCTCGATACGGAATTGAGCTGGAGGCAGCGCAGCCCGTCCGCTACATCGTCATCCCTCAGAAGCGGTTTCAGAAAGCCGCGGGTGAGCAGCGAGGGCTGTTCGATTCCACCGCCCCGCAGTTGCTGGACATGCTGAAGGAGAGCCGAAGTGCTCAAACCCGTGGGAAACTCCAGTCCATCGTCCTGTGAGTCCACGTTGTTGATTTTGGGCGCCGAATTGAACGAGCCCATTCTGGAAAACGATTTAGCAGTTCAATTAGCCTTGTATTAGAGTCAATGAGATTTAACTCAGCTTAGCAAGCGTGCTTATCACTCCACAAATCAATTATACTGCTTTTAAAACATAAAGTATGTTTTAGTTAAGCATTTCAATCGAAATAACTAATAAAAGCTCTTTGCAACAATCAAACAACTTTCAGCGAACAACACGATTTTAACAACAGCAAAAACACCAATAAAACGTATTTATTTTATATTTATTCTGGTACTCACAAAGCATTTGGTTTTTTATATAGAATTTTTCTCAGTATTATGCTGAATATGAACAGACTATGACTATGCCGTTGACTCGTATAAAATTTTCCCATTTTCACTTTGCTGCAAATATTGGAGGTGTAAAATTTTGTGTGTGGGGGAAGAACATTTTTTTAAATTGTTAAGATACTTTTAATCAGAGTTTCTTTATTAAAATATACTTTAAAAACATTTAAATATTCGAATGGAGATAAAAAGATGAAGATTAATTTAAGCAAAATATTTAGTTTCACTTTTTTCAGCTTTAAACAAAATTCATTATTAGAAACAAATGATTTGAGACACAAATTAAGCTTAAAATATGAATGATAAGTTTTCAATTGTTTAAATTGTTTCTTCTAACTAATATGAATTTCTTACATGCAAGGGAAACTAAAATACTGAGGTATACTTCTAGATCTAATGAAGAGTATATCATTTTAGAACAATACATTTTTTGTATATTCTTTCTAAGTTAAGTACGCATTTTTATTTTGTATTCCTTTTTAACTTATTTCAAGATCAAATACAAGTTTTTGGTTTTATATTAGACGCTACTAGCATTAAGCTTTTATTTAAATTTTTTTTAGTTAGTTTACAGTGATTTTAACTTCTTTTTGACTCTTTGGTAAAACTTATCTATGTTCCTGACAAATTCTTCCTGCTGAAACTATGTTACATTACTGATGTCTATTTCTATGTCTAAATCGAATGAGCGTTTCTGGTGTTCGTGCACCGAAGCTTTGCGTCAATTATCACATATGCTCTGATTCTAAGAAGACCACCAGAGCGGGAATCAAAGAGGAATAAGTCGGGTATTTAGGGGGGGATGGTGGAGATGCTGGGCCGCCCACGCGATTAAAATCCCGCGAAACAAAAACAAAGGCGAAAAATGTCGCTCGGTCAATAGCTTCGCAGCTGTTTGGCTGGTTTGCGTTGCTCCGCGAGAGAATCGAAACCAGTTCCCAGCCGGGGATGGATATGGATGTCGAATGTGGACTGGATTTTGGGGCTTACGGGTTTCGGCCTGTCACCGCAATCAATCATCCGCCGATGGAGCAGATTCCCCCTTAGATGAACCCCCCAGCTCTGCTCACCTGGTCAGCATCACCTTCTGCAGATAGGCCTTTCGATCGTTTTTGCAGGGCGCCTTGTTGGCTCGCTTTATCGGAAGGGCTTGCTCCATTTTTGCGGCAGGATCAGAGGATTTTGATTGCGGTAATTTCGGGATTTTGAGATTTGGGATTTAGCTTTGTTTCTTTTCTGGAATCTTGGGGCGTCGGAACGAGGTGCGCTTGCAAGCGACTTTGGCGAAACTGAATGCCAACTGAAGTGCGGGGTTTTATTAGAGACATCATTGCCGGGCAGAGAACGCTCGCGAGGCAGCGAAAAGATCGCGAGGAGAGCACGCACAAACGGGTATTTCGCATACGAGATGTATCTGCAAGATACAGATACCCCGCACAACGAGATCAATACGTTCGGCTCACGTGTGAGAGCGCCCCGCCAAAATGCTAAACAAAAGAACGATTCTGACTGACTGGCAAGCTTGTTAAATATTTATGCGACCAGGGCGGCGGGGAATGGATATCAGTTAATGAAAACAAAAGTGCTCGAGTGAGATATAATATGCATGCAAAAATCAACAAACAAATGGTGAAAATAGTCAGCCATCCATAGCCAGCATCCTTAGCTAATGCCTGGCGGTGTTGTATGCCTAAGCAGAATCCCAAATGTTCTCAAATGCTAATGCGGCAGACAAAAAATACAATTGTATCTGCACAATTTATACAGCAACGCAGTTACATGCGTAATGAGCTGTCCGCCCAAGAAATATATAGAATATTTATCTGTATCTGCAGCCGATTCGGCGATGGAGGGAGATTTTGTTACCTGGGAATCGGCACGGCCACACGTCTCGCGAAAGTCTTCGATGTGACGATCAATCGCGATGTTTTCATTAGAAACTCCATTTTGAACTGTTTTTTACTCTGGTCCAAGCAAAATATATCACTTTCAGTTTGTTCGGTTTCTGATTTTTGATTTTGGTCTGGAATTCTTTGTTTCTTGTAAAGGTATTAGGATAACTTGAAATGTTTTATATTAAGTGTCAGTATGGCAATGTCAAAGAGACGCGGCCCCATCTGTGTTTCCTAGAAAGGCAAGATTATTACAGGGTTAGACAATGATTTGGGTTAGGCTCGTCGATCGCACCGAATGCCACTTGCAAGATACCTACAAATCTGAGAGCGGAATGTTGAACTTTTAGGCACGTGTCGAAACACTTTCGTGAACTAATCGCAATTATTGTACTCATTTGTAGGATCTTTTTACTTCATTTACGGTCGCGAATAAATTATCACTTATGAATTATCATTTAATTAAGTTCTCGGTTGTGTGTTGGATAACCTAACAAATTTGTAACCAAATTTTATGAAATTAGTTGATCGTTTGAAAAATTGTGTTCCTATACAAAATCGAAAATATAGAAAAGGAATGGTTTTGATTACAAAATTATTTAATGAATTGTCAAAAACAAGATCTGTGTTTAAATTAAAAAATTGATAATCAAGACATCTATCTCAATAAATGGTTAAGATTTTAATTATGCAATTCTAAGATAAGATATAAATGAAGATAGCAGGACCAAAAATGATAAGCACAATATTAACAAAATAATAGACCCTGCCCTGTCATATCGGGATAGTAAGATAAAATAAATGTAAATACAAAATATTTCGTATTTCCCCTTTCCCCTGGGGAGCAAATATATGTATATACATATATTGTCAGTTTTTGTCATGATCACTTTCGCGCAAATTGTGCAAGGTTAGTTTTTGTTGCTCTCGGTGATCTGTTGACGTTGCTGCTGCTGTTTGTTGTTGCTGATTGCCGCTAAGTGGCTTTGAGGCCTGGCCAATGGCTAAGAACACTTGACACGCTGCCAGCCATGAACTTGATTTATAAGCACGGGCACGGGCACGGGCAGACAGGTAGCCCCTGTAAGAAACGAGTCTGGGTCTCTCACCTCACCAGATACAAGAGCAGATCGCGGGGCGGCTCAAACTCAAACTCAGCGGAACTCTGGCCGAGATTGATATCGATACGGGGGCCGGCCACGCCCATTTGGTCATCCATTTCCTTTTCGATTTCCAGTTTGCGTGCGGCCAGGCGCTGTTTCATCTGAACGGTGGAGGTCATGGCCGAGGTCTTGGCAACAGCTTCCGCGATCTCGTATTGCCTGAGGAAATCCTGGCGAAATCCATCGAGCGTGAGGCCTTGAGGTTGTCTGCACTCGGGACCACACAGGCGCTGGCACATCTCATTAAGGGCCGAGCTGCGATCGGTCAGGTGATCGGGTGCCATTCGCAGGCAATTTGAGCAGGGAATATCCCTGTGCGAATCGCCAGCCAGTTTTTGATCTTCCGAATAGTGGTTGGGTGGCTTAAAGGCCTCTTCATTGGGCGAGGGTGGCTCATCCGTTACACTAAACAACTGTGGTGGCTTATCATCTTCTTCTAGAGCCTCCGATCCTCCATCACTTCTCCTATAATCCAAGGGATTGACCTCTAGATTTAACAGAAGGGCTGTTACGGGCATGGCCTTGCCCAAGGCTGGCTGACGTCTATGGCCATAGTTTTCACGTATTTCACTATTTTGTTCCATTTTTGTTGTAACACTTCGTCAACCAGCACTCTGTTCTTTGACCACTCTGCGTATGCGTAATATTCGTTGCAATTATTAGTTAAGCGCACTTCTGGCCGTTTAGAACAGCCAACAATTAATACGCGCGTGCGTTGCCTTTCCTTATTTATATCTTCTGGTTGACTCTAGTCGAGATCGAGGCAATCAAGTGCCAGCTGCTCAGTTCCCTGATCTCTCTCGCGTTTCTCATTAAAAGAGCAGACAGATTGCCGCTGTTCAATCATAGGTATATTATATAGCATGAAATTGAAATTGCCGCTCTCATTCAGTGTTCGTTTTTAAAGGCAAACCACATTTTGTTTAATTACTTTCCAAAATGTCAAATTTATTATTAGCCAAATAGAGTCTCGGTTTGGCTGTCTAAAAGTCATGAGCTTGTTACTAATTAATACTTTCATCGACTTGACTTTAAACATGCACCCGATGAGTCAGTACGCTGACTGTTGTTATTGTTTCGAAAGCATAACAAACAAGATTTCACTTGAACTTGCAGCTGCTTAAGGTTAACCCGAGTGTGAAATAATTGCAAATATTTTCAAAATTGTGTTTACAAAAAAGTGGCAGTAAAATGAAATAATTTTTGTAACATTTAAACATTATTTTCTTATCAATTTAAAGTGCTATGTGCGTGAAAATGCCAAAGGAATTCCGTATTCCGCAAACAATCAATTACAGATAAATAAAGAACAATTTCCAATCAGCTGCGATTGATTAATTACACTCTATGTCAGCTGCCTGTCACTTGATATCCACACAGACATAATTATTTTTACGCCTCACTTTGTTCCACCCCAAGATCCAATCAACACAGAACGAGAAGAAAGACATAGGCCTTCAATGCTAATTTGTAGCTAATAAATTATTATGCACTTTCATGATTTGCATTAATTCAAGAGCAAATTGATTGCATTTCATTTGGCTAATAAACTTAAAGCATATTGAACGAACAGAGTGACTCTCATTAATTTCCGCAATATGGGAAATTAATTAGCAAAACTGCGTTAAAGTATTAATTGATCTAACCTCAGTTATAAATTGAATAAGTCTTTTTTTGGGGGTTTTAAAAAAATTATGGCCACTTGACTTTCGTATGGCAAACGACTACAAACTTTCAGTTTTATTTGCTTATATATTAAATTGTTCTTGAACAGCTGCCCAAAAGTAGGCAATAGTTTTTCTAAAATCTACGCTCACTACCTCCCACATCGCTTTTAAATAATTGCTCAGCTGTTATTAAATTTAATCTACTTCAGTGTGTATTTTGTATTTTTTTACCCGTACCTTACAAATACAACTCAATAAATTTTCGATATCTTACTAATTGAAAATAATATTCACTTCCCCTTCCGCAGGGGCGACTAATCTACAAACGTTTTACGGGTCTTATATTTTTTTTGGCAATGCACTGCGGAAAGTCGAGCGGAATCAACAAGAGCAGCGGCCGACATTGAGTTTTATTTATATGGCTATATGTACGTGAGTGTACGGGCCTGTGGGGAGTCGTCCAAATGCCGAGAATGCCACATGAACTTGGCAACAGGTTCGCTCAATTTATGACAGGCCTAAACCTCGTGCGAAATATAGTAGGGAATTGTGTACCGAAACCATGTTACTTTTTGTGCCAATTCAACTGACTTTATAGTGGCTGGACACCTGCTCTCGCTGGCTGATCGGGTGGGTCATCGATCACTCCATCTGATATAGATTAATCTGAAGCAAACCAAAAACCGAATAAAACGGAGAGACGCCAGCGATTTGATAAGCTTATCAGGGGATTTTATACACAGCCATCTGGTTAGCTCGACTATCAGATGACCTGTAGATTGTAAAGTTTGATATAGGAGGATTATTTACGTAAGCTTTTGGACCTTTCACTAGTTATTCAACTGATTGTTGTATTTTTTAAGTTTGTTTACTACTTGTTTTTGTTAAAGTTACAGCCCATTTTACATAAGTTTTAGAAGTTGGTTAACCTTCTATTTATTTTATTAAACATTTCTTTTATTTTATTGTGGTAAAAATGGCATTACGAAGAATAGAAAATCCTGAGATTACCGCTTTTGGGGAAAATATGAGCATTTCCTTTTATGCTCTATCTGGTACACTACAGGGTATAGACACATAGTGTACGCCTAAGTGGGCTGGCTGGCGATTATTTTTGTTATACAACAGCATAGCGACAGATTGGGACACATACTCGTACATATATGGAGAGTATCGCATCGACTTTGGCTTGGAAAAAACTGGTTCTACTCCGGCAAAAGCTGATTCCATCTGGACGCAAAATCAATGGAACTTGGACCGCTTTTCCCGAAAGGTTTGTGGCGCACTTTGCAAGTGGTTCAGTGGGGCAAATTATCAACTTATCGCTGCGATGGCGAGACTCACCATTTTGCACTGCCTGCACTAAGCACCACCACACATGGTTAATTGCCGATCGCAGAGAATACAAATTGCCCGCAATGGCTTTTCGCGAACCGAGAAAACGTCTAATGCGAATTGCGCGATTTTCATGCGGTTCAAATGCTCCGGCGAGCTGCAAAGAACTAAACTCGATGGTACGCGCTTTGCGACATTTATACCAACGCTCTCAGTGCCGGGAAGCTGATAAGGATAATGCCAAGAGACCTCTCTGTTTGTCTGGCGAATGAGGCACCATTGCACAATCATCGCCCGGCGAGAAGACCCCTCTCTCTGATTTGTACTCTACCTCATTATCGTAATAAGTTCAATGGCTCTCGCTCTCAGGGTCTGTAACATTAGCGTAAATTGCCGCTAGGGGCTACGATTTTGGTTTCTATTGGGCCTATCCCGCGTATGAGTATGTATGTATAAAGTTATTTCTGACTAGACATTTTTGTCTTAAGAAATACAAATTGTTACATATTATTGACGGCTTTGTTTACTACATGTTCCTTAAAAGCTTTTATTTTTTAAATGCCACATAGATTCAATTTGGTAAAAATGTATTCCAGCAATTTGGGGGCTTTAAGGGGCTTAACAATATTTTCTTTTTTGTAATTGATTTTCTGTTTATTTCCTAACACTTTTATATGAAGTGGCGCCACTAATATATGTCATAGGAATTGAACCGGCATTTTTTCAAGCTAAGAACCTATTTTTGGTGAAACTCTTTAAAATAACTTCTCCATTTTAACATATACCTATTAAGCTTTAAACATGACTTTGGTTTGAAATGAAATTGTTATTTAATAATACCACAAAAAAAAAAGGCTTTTCCATTATTATATTTATAACCGAACAAACCTAGTTGAAAAAGTTCTTGCGCCCTTTGCTCCAAAAGACCTTCTCAAGTGATGGTATTCTCTTCAACCATGTTTTGCTTAATAAATTCCATACTTACTGTTCTTTACTAACATTCAAACAAAGAATATATAAGCCTCAATGATGAAGCAATCTTTATGTATAGATCTTAAGCACATTCAAAAGGGAATTTTTAATCATATTCCCCGTCAAACAAAGACTTAAAGACGTCAGCCAAATGACTCACTTGATACGCCCACTTACTTTGTTGGACCTGAGTGGGTCAATTGTTAACAATTTGTAAATTCGCGCTGATAACAATGCCAATGACATGAGGATCGCGTCTGGTTTTGTGTCTAGCTTTAAGGTATATCTTATCGGGTGCACTTATGTGGGAACAGTAGGCATAAGCCACTTGAAAACGTTATCCCAGCATAATTCCTTCGCACGGGTCAGTTGTAAAGCTTTCAAATGGGATTTGATTTACTACTAATTGATAAGAACGGGGGAATGCAACAAAAAGTTACGTTGCCTGGATCTAATTGGTTATAATTAGTTTGGGGCGGCTGGAAATGCGTAGTTCTCGCCAATCCCGCTCCCAGTTGGCCTGTCAAGGTCAGTGGTGAGTGCGACTGCCGATTAGGTGGGGAATACAACTATTTAGTTTCACAGTATAGGCGAGTATTTAATATTTTTATTACTCGCAGCCAGTGGTCTAGCCGTCGAGATAAGATAAGGATTTCGAGCGGATCTACCTCGGCCTTGTTATAGTGCTTCGGTATAAAGTCCGCTCTTTAGTTTATCTTCTATATTATAGTGTTTCAATAATGAGGTTTGGTTGTATTTATTCACGTCTGCCTAGATGCTTTCACTTCTTATCAATAGGGCAGTGGAATCGGCAACGCGTGCCGCTCACATACTGTGCCCACACACATTTGTACAAACTTATAACATGAGTATTAAGTTTTTAAAATTTCGATATTTGAACTGTTTTCTATACCTGCCAGAAAATACTTTTATTTGTGTGTAATGTTTGCAAAACTAAACAAGGAATGAATATTTACGTTTTTATTAATTCATCCTGTACTTGTGAGCTGAAGTTAAAAAATCCTCATGTATTAAATGACGGAAAATCGCTTTAAGGCCTTTATACTTATTCATTCGATCACTAACTTTACACCCACATTTCTTCACGACTATTACGTTCTGTCAGTTGTTACACTCAACAAGTAGAAATTTTGGAGATGGGGAATTCCGGGCAATTGTAATGAAATTACGGGCTTCTCCAACAATAGGTATTCACTTTAATCAGAACAGATCTTATGTGCTTGCAGGAAATTATATGTACAACGCCCTCAAAGCTGGAAAAGAGGCTCACAAAGGACAGCTATAGTAATTAAAAACCCATTTCTGTTGTCACCCGCCCTCGAAAACACACACAAACAAGCACTTGGGTAAATTACAAGCGCCACATGGAACAAACCACATCCCATTTCCAAGCGACCTCAAACCCAAACAAAAACGTGGCGTTACGATGAGGTGGAGGTTCGAGAGCGAGACGGGAAGAGAGCGGGAATAGCACACAAAGAGCGGGCTGGGCTCTATCAAACCCTCTCTAGCGCTCGCACAAGTCAGCAGATTGGAGCAAATTAGTATTTTTGTGCATTAAACAGTCAGTCCAAAAACAAACCACATAAACAAAAACAAAGAAAATAACTAAAAGAAAACCAGCAGACAAAGACCGAGGCGGAAAAGCTTTACAAAAGAAACTTAATTTATGAAAAGCAGTAGCAAACAGCGCAACGTCTT